TTCAGTTTTCTCTGTTTCCTTGTTGTGAAAATCTATTTTACATTTTGTTGTTAAAAAATTTGCTCCATCGGGAGTCAAATTGGATCTTCTGTATGATTTTCCCTTATTTTGAAAGGATAAAATATGTTGGGTGGATTTTCCCCAAAAGCAATCGAAAACATAACTTTTTAGACAGAAATACTTTCTAATATAAGTTTAAAATGAGGGGAAAAAAGAACCTAAAGAAAAAAACCTGAGAATTTCCCAATGGCACAAACTGTGACAAAAGGTGTCCAAAATGGTCCAAGAGAGGTCCGCCAGGATTTCTATCAACTAAAACCTCTCTAACTTTTATATACTTCCTTTTTTCATGATTTTTGAGTCAGCAAATGTTCAGACCCTATTCTGTGGATTTCTAGATGTTTTAGGCTGCAACTAGGTATTTTAGAAGGAATTGTAACATCCATGGACGTAATTTTCACTTTAGAAGTGGGGGGGGGACACGGGTGTGTGTGTGTGTGTGTGTGTGGGGGGGGGTATCTTTACAGTATGCTCTAATGGGAAACAGGCTTCAACACAAACAGTTGTTTTCCACTTGGTCCTAGAGCTCAACCAGTGTCAATTTAATATAGCGTAATATTGTTTTTGGATGGTAAAAAGTGCAGGGGTCAAAACTTGACTTTGGAAAAAGTGGGGGGGACATGTCCCCCCTGACCCCCCCCCCCCCCCCCCCCCCCCCCCCCCCCAAAATTACGTCCATGGTAACATCATAAAGTGGATTTTTTTTAGGCGGAACAGATTTTTTTCTCATTTCTGCTGTGTTCCAGATCCTGTTAACTCTCAATCGGTGACAGAAGTGGTGCTTTTTAGAATTTTAGAGTTAACTAGTCTTACATTTATTTTGAAACCAAAACAGCTCATATAAACCTTGTAGTTTATGAGGTATACTCAATTAATTTTGGGTACGTCTTTTTCAAGAAAATCTCTGAAAAATGGCCTGGGGTTTGGTTCTCCTACCATGATCATATACAGGTCAGACTGAACACGCATCTGTGGCCAGAGCTTTATTCTTTTTCAATCTCTCCTCTTCTGCGCCACCTTTCCTGGCCCATCTATTTAGCCTCTCGGACCAAATGTGCTGTGGTGCGGTAGTATGCTCTGGGGTGGGGGGTGTCTGAAGCGCTTTGCCAGACCCCGACAGAGGAGGGCGTGTCTTTGTGCCCAGTTTGCTCCATTTGTGTGAGCATCCGGAGATCAGGTGCCCTGAGCTGCATGAGGTAATGTTCATTTAGATATTACGCACATCATCATTGTCAGCAATCAGTGAGCAGGCCGGATTAACAGCCAGGACACCGGGAATCCCGTTTCTCAGGATTACCGGTCCGCCACTGATTCTGTGCCTCTCCTCTCTTCCTCCAAACTCTAGGACCTTGATTTCCAAAGGAAATGCTAAATTTACTTTAATCACAGAACATAACTTTGGACCAGCGGCAGTCTTTTTTCAGTTACCTTTAAGCCCAGAATTCCCAACCTACACTGTAACAGGTGGCTGTAAAAACTACATTATGATTTTACAGTAAGGCGGCTGCGTTTAAAAATGCAGCTCTTTGCTGTGAACGTAAATGCGCCCGGGAGGAAAATGGAATTTAATTGGACCGCTGGATCACGTGCATAACTGTGCAGTAATTTTTACACGTAAAGTAGCCTTGTGGGACTTTAACCGACAGGAGGCGGCCAATGTTCGTGGGCTGCAAAGAAGGACTTTCACTGGGTAAGAACCTTTTTGTGTTTTTAAGTTAACATAAATATACTTCATATATGTGTCTAGAAGTACACTCATACTTATGTTTATGTATGTAGCAGACACTTTTGTCCAAAGCGACTTACAAGTGATAATCGGCATGTTGCCCTTGAGGCTAACAACAACAACAACCAATCAGTCAGTCGTAGGAGGCAGTGAGGCAGCATGATGAATCATGGAGAGGAGGGAACAAGGAGTGGTAGGAGAAGCCATGTGATCGAATGATCTCACTCAGTGGCCTAACCCGGGAGGAGCTCGCCCAAGTGGCTGTGGAGAGGGAAGTCTGGGCCTCCCTGCTTAGGCTGCTTCCCCAGTGACCTGACCCCGGATAGGGGGCTCAAAATGGATGGATGGAATTTGGGTTGAAAGGGAAGTAAAAGAATTTAGAGCAAAAACCCTGTGGTGCTCGCCTGTCTTCAGGTAAGCAGAAAATGATTATGTCCACACCTTAAACATTATTATGATGGATGACAGTGGGCCTCATTTACAAGGCTTGCTTACACACAAGATGTCTGAAAATGGCATACGTGACTTTCACAAACTTTGACTTTTAAAATGAAAAACCCAATGAAAAACCATGGCAACTTTAAAGTGGTAGAACACTTGTCTAATCAATACATTTGCAATGGTCTCTAGTAGGAACTAATGGGAAAAAGGCAAAAAACATGTAGTGGTGATGGTGCACCATTTCTCAGACCTAAAAGTTACCCACATCACAGCTGAGCTTCAGACTGCAGGTTTTAGAGATTTATTTCTGTGTATTTGGACATCTGTCCCCAGACTGGATAACAGCAAAGTGACTCTACCACTGACTTGCAATGTGGAAGTTTAATCTCCACATATAACACCAGCCTGCAGAGCTTCTGCCATGTGCTGAAGTTACTAATGCTAACAGTTAGCTTCTACTAGCCAGGACATCCACTGCTGATTCCCAGATGTTAAAACAACAGCTTTTCCAGTTGTGAGTCCAGACTGGCGAGTGCATGAACGTTAAGTATCAGCAAAACATACAGATCACAGGCTTTTCACATCCTAGCATTCCACCATCACGATTTTCTACCATAAGTTAACGCAGGAGATAGATGATGGAGACTTTTTTCATGTTCAGCCAGCATGAAAAACTCAGAATGACCAATTATTATCAAAAAATAAAAATGAGTTTTCAGTCAACCATACTTTTAAGGACCTCTGGGCAGATCTCATCTACCCCTGGGGCCCTGCCACCAAGGAGCTTTGTAACCACATCAGTGACCTAAGCACTAGATTGGAAAGCCCAACCCACGTCACCAGACTCCACTTCCTCACTGGAAGACATACTGGTGGGATTTAGGAGGTCTTCGAAGTATCACCGATCCACGTCCCAAGTAGAGGTCAGCAGCACACCGGCCCCACAATAACTAGTGTTGGTAGAGTGCATCGCTTTCCCCTCCTGAGGCACCGGACAGTGAACCAGAATCTCCTCAAAGCCGTACGGAAGTCTTGCTCCGTGGTCTCAAAATGATTTCATTAAACGATTTCCTTTTTTTTTGGATTAATGGTGGATGGCATAAACAATCTGTGACCTTTAAGTCTTGAGGTATTTTGTGATCTCGCAAGTCCAGCGAGGAGCATGGCAGAGAATCCCCTCCACGACTGATTCTCCAGGCGTGTACTGGCACGCAGCGAAGCTCGTTGGTAAACCGTTCTGCAACGCCGATGCTTCCAGTGTGCAATGGATCTTTGTATTTCTAGTACAGACTTGGAACATGTTTGCTGGATGATTTGTGCAAGTATCAGATTTTTATTTGACTTCCACAAAATGCAAATTCTAGATTAGATATGACAGAAAATGGGGACGGTCAGATTTAAAAGCCGTCCCTCGTTATTTAGGCTGTCGTTTTTAAAATCGTGCTATCCACGACTGCGGGACGGATAGCTGGCTAATACCACGGTCAGGTAAGGCCTTTCTGTTTAAGTACACCTGAATAGGTGGGGACTCATTAACATGAGCATAAGTTTCCAGCCCAGGGTATCTGCAGGTTTAAGGGAGCCAAATTTAAGACTTTTTAAGACCTTTTTTAAGGCCACTTTGACCAAATTTAAGCCATTTTAATGATTAAATGTAAGCTATAATTCCCAGCTATTGCCTGGAACCGGTGCTAACCTATGATGCGAACGTAGGATTAGCCATCCAGTTACCATTAAACTTGCACTTCCCCATGGCGCAAGCTCCCGCTAGCTTAACCAGCTAATGTGCTCATCTAAAAATAGCCCCCTTTCACAACTAACTGAATGTGTACGGTTCCGCTTACGCCAACATCGTACACAAAAAACGCTGAACACTAACTGGAAATTCAAGAAAATTTTATAGAAATAAAAGAATCTTGTTTATTAGGTCTTTGGTAATTTAAGACCTTTGAAAGCTGTATTTAAGGATTATTAGTCATTTTTAAGGATTTTTAAGACCTTAAATTTGGAAAAGCTAATTTAAGACTTTTTAAGACCTTTTTTAAGGCCACTTTGACCAAATTTAAGCCATTTTAATGATTAAATGTAAGCTATAATTCCCAGCTATTGCCTGGAACCGGTGCTAACCTATGATGCGAACGTAGGATTAGCCATCCAGTTACCATTAAACTTGCACTTCTCCATGGCGCAAGCTCCTGCTAGCTTAACCAGCTAATGTGCTCATCTAAAAATAGCCCCCTTTCACAACTAACTGAATGTGTACGGTTCCGCTTACGCCAACATCGTACACAAAAAACACTGAACACTAACTGGAAATTCAAGAAAATTTTATAGAAATAAAAGAATCTTGTTTATTAGGTCTTTGGTAATTTAAGACCTTTGAAAGCTGTATTTAAGGATTATTAGTCATTTTTAAGGATTTTTAAGACCTTAAATTTGGAAAAGCTAATTTAAGACTTTTTAAGGACCCGCGGATACCCTGCCAGCCTTAGCCAGAACTGTTGTGGAAGTTCAGGGAGCGTGATGCGACCAGCAGTTAGACAGCACTAATATTTTCCCAATCTTTGGATTAGAAATGTTTCTACCGGCACAAAACTTTCTAAACTGACAGTCCGACCTGTTGTCTTGGTGGCAGCTCTGCAGACCCATTTACCAAACATCTGTTTGCAGGTGAGAAAGTCTGAGGTCTGCAGCCAAGATGCCACTTAACAAGGCACCAGCAACCCTCCACCAGTAACTCGGACAAATCAGAAGTGAAAATGACAACAAGGAATTGAGCACTTTGACAATTTATTAACAATTTCAAACAAAAACAAAAAACATGTACACTGTTCAGTCTCTGATCTGCAAACAGATGGGAAAGAGTCTAACAGCTCACACTGACACCACCATCATCATCATCATCATCATCATCATCACAAGAAAGCAGCTGTCTAACAGTCAGTGTGTCCTACCTGTCTCTTTGTCCAGAGGTGCAAGGATGTCCAAACGCAGGACAAGTAAGAGATCAGTCCCTAAACATCTGACCTGCTAAAACTGGATCCCACACACAACCCAGGATCAGACCTGGTTACCAGAAATCCCAGTGATTTGATTTTATCGACTACGTCTCTGGGCCGCTCACAAAGCTGCTGCTGCTGATGAAACCAAGCACCTGAAACAGGTGTGCCTCAGACCTTGAACCATGTTTGGGCACCCTCAGCCTTCGCTTCGACAATACTTTGTTCACAGTAAAAAAAAGTGTCAGTGTTCTTTATCAGAACCCAACAGGAAGTATCATCAGCATTTGAGAGTATCGCCAACATTGTGCCGAATCATTCAGATAAAAATCACTGATCGAAGAACCTCCAATGCAAACCCACATTAGTGTTTATTACAGAAGATGATATGAAAGCGTGACGTGATCCTTACACCTGCTCCACCAGGTAATTATAGGCAGACTGAAGCGAGTCCTGCATTTCTCATGATACACCTACAGGACTTTAGTGACGATTACAGTTTCAGTTAACAAAAGTCATCACACCTTATTACACAAGATCCGGGTGAGCTGAAATGCTCTCACTGACACCTGAAAGAGATAAGCTCCGCCCTACGCCATCTAAACATCGACAGTAAACCCTGAGGTTCCTCCCCCTCCTGTCCAAACCAGAACCATTTTGGATTAGTCTAAGGTCTGGCTCCCCCCAGCTCCTGTTTGTCCATGTACAGAAGGGGCAGGACTAAGGCGCTAGCAGCAGCAACAGCCACTGCTACGTCTCAAACTGTGTGAGCAGCGAACGGACTTCAGGCGTCAACTGTTTGGCGGCGCTGGCAGCCTCAGCAATAGCGCGTCGATACGGCCCTTTTCTCTTTTTGTCAAACCGCAACTGGAACGTTTCGAGGAAAGGTGAGAGCTGAGCGAGTGGCAGGAAAGAAGTGGTCGGCGAGCCAAACCAGGAGACACGCGCCTCCTGACGCACTGCTAGCCCTGTGTCACCGCGGCGAGCCACCATGATGCCGAGCACACGAGCTGGCCACCATGGGAAGCCATAAATCTTGGCCCAGACGATGTCACCGACACACACGGTGCGGCCATCGGGAAGCAGACACTTGGACACGGACTTGGAAAAGACAGAGGAAGAAGATGAGGACGAGGACGAGGAGGATGTGGACAATTTCCGATGCCGCTTTACGTCACCTCCTTCCTCTTCGTCCTCTGCAGTGGGAGAGACAGGGGAGGATGAGGTGGGGAAGTGAGGGGGTAAAGAGGGGGAGGAAGGAGGTAACGGGGCTGGACAAGAAGAAGAGGAGGGAGGATCTCCCGGAGGAGGGAGGTCAAAGGTCTCTGTGGAACTGCACTCAGAGTGGGAGGAGTCTAAGGAAGAAGAAGAAGGAGGTGGCTCCACCTCATGCCACTCTGCTCTCTGCCTCACCCCTTCATCCTCAGGAGTTTCTATGATGACACTAGCAGCGGAGGAAGGAGGAGCTGTAACTGGGGGCGGGGGAGGTTGGGTGGGGCTTGTGGCAGATTTAGGTGGCGATGCGGAAGCAGACTGCCGTGCTGGCTCATCAGTACGGTACCTTTGGGGCTTCAGGCGCATTCTTGGCGGAAGGGGCGCGTGGGTGCTGATGGCGGTGCTGCTCAGGTTTTGCAAGCGGCGGGTCAAGTGGACCTTTTGGTTGCGGATCTGCAGGGCAGCAGCTCGAGTCACAGCCTTGCTGTGGTCCTGGTGCTTGCCCGGGGATGCTGGCCGGCAGTGCGGAGTCAGCTTTTGGAGAACTTGCCCGTCCTTGGAGCGGTCAGCAGCAGAACCTTTGGTCAGAACTTTCTTAGAGTTCAGCTTTAAGCGAACATGGCTGGATGAGGCTGTTGAGGATGAAGCCACGCCTCTGAGCACACGGCAAGATGATGATGAAGACACATGTATGACAGATGATGAGTGTCTGTTAGTAGAGGAGCGACTTCTCGTGTTGCCGCTCCTCAGGCGTTTCACCTCCGAGGATATTGGGATGTCTGCTGCTCGCCGCCTCCGTGTTGCCTCATTGCTCCTCAGCTCCACTGGGCCTCGCCGTGCCTCCCTACACCCACCTGATGTCACTACACCTTTACACTTGTCACAGAGAACCTGACGAGGGCGGAGCTTGATGGCATTCATGATAGAGGTGGGCTCCTCGCAGCGGTAGCGCCGCTTTGGCCGTTTGATTTTGCGAGGAAGTGGCTGAGGTAAGGCCTGGTTGTAGGTGTCCCTGATGAAGAGCGGTGGTGGGTATGGTGCCCCCTCCTGAAAAAGTGGTGGCGGTTTGGAGGTCCAGGGTTGGGGTGGGTGTGGAGGGGATGGAGAAGCGGTGACAACAACCTCCTCGAGCTTGGTGGAAATCTCGCCACTGATGGTAGCTGGCTGCAGAGATTCTGGAGGCCGACTGCGGACGTCTCGTCTAGGGAACATCGTGATGGGGATTCCATAAGGTCCAAACCTACAAGACAGATCCAAATATCATATTTGTATATATTAATATATACCACAGTGTAATAAAAACTATATATCAGACATTTCTGACCTGTTTTAATACTGTCGGACAAAAAAACTTTAAATTGTCAAACACTATGACCGACACTTTAGATTGTCTCCGTAGCGAAACACTGGAAGCTTTCAGCAGCTATAATACAAACTTAAGGTCATTTACGATCATTTCATATTGTTGTGATGATGGTACCTAACTAAACCGCCAGACTAAATGACATTTCAGGGTAAATACAGCAATCCTTAAGTAAAATTTACTACTTTTTATTACTTTTTTTACTACCTTCAGAATTTTTTTAAAACCATCACAACACTAAATTGCAAGTGTTAATCAGCGACCTATTTACACATATTTTAACATATATAACATACAAAAAGAACAGACTTAGAGACTCACTGATGTTGACAACGTATTGCACATATTTATTTTACTTAGAAAATAAGCCAGGCACTTCTGTTCAGCGGTCCAGACAGTTGACCACGAGGCCTGAAATGATGCACAACGACCACTGAATATGACGTCATCATTATGTGACCGGATATGCTAAAGTAGGGCTGCTCGATTATGGCAAAAACAATAGTCACGATTATTGTGACTGAAATTGAGATCTCGATTATTTAAGACGATTTTTCAATTTATGTAGATTTTTATTTTTTTATTTTTATTCAGTCATAAAACTGCTCAGGGCACAATCAGGACAAAAATAAACAAGAAACAAGATGATCACTAAAATAACTCCTGATTCCCAGTATAAAAAGACCAATATGCTTATAGCTCATAGTTTATGACCCAAGGGCTCTAGACCTTGGTTTAACTCATGTAAGTCTAACCAGTACAGACCCAAATACCAATATCTTGCAAATACTGACAGCAAGAATTATACAGTGGCATTTATAACAAATACATGCAAATTTCTGTTCACTAAATGTTGCATAACATTTATTGAGTCGTGTCAAGGTGCTGTAGGAGCGTGCACTAGCACCGTGTCCTCAGAGAGATTAGTTATTATTTATCAGCGTGTGGAACTTATTTCTACCTTATTTATAAACTATTTATTTACAAGTCCATCAGTTAATGTAATAATTGTCCCAACCACAGCTGCAGCCCCCAACCCCCCAACCCGGTCTCACAGCAATCAGGGGCAAGCTGCACCTGTGTTTAGCACGCCGCACGCGCACATTTAGCCGTTTTTATCGGCTCAGGAGTCCGCAGGTGCGGTGTGTGTGTCACTCACTCTGGTTAATCCAACAGGGAGCTGGCTCTGAGAGCCGTTTCTTTAGCGACTGACACATCACTACATCATTCCCTTTCCTAATGTCCTGAAGAACGGTCCGGAGCGCAGGCGGAGTGTTTAGCTAACCTGCAGGAAACGTCGACGACAGTTATCCAGAAAGTAGCTAAGGGTTACCAGAGATGTTTCTGAGGTGTTCGCTAGGTACCTTTAAGATTTAAAAAGTCAAGAAGGGGGTCTGAGAAGCTGTTAGAAATAGCGTCAAAGTCGCTAAGTTAACTTAGCAACACTGGGAGGAGCGCTTCATTTGCAACTCAAGACAGCGCAAGTGGGAGGAGCAAATAATCGGCTTGTTTTGTTTTTATAATCGTTCAAAACATTTCATTCGGAATATATTTCTATGTCGATGTTCAGAATACGACATCTGATAGTCTGAAAAAAATAATACCCAATTTGGAAAAAATAATACCTCTGAGACCAAATTTAACACTTTTAATGGCCTTAAATTTGACTATTTTTATTTATCACTTTTTAATACTTTTTAAAACCCCGCGGACACCCTGCATTTAGTCCTGAACGGCGGCGGTTTACTAGAGTAACAGCTCAGGTAATCATCATTTCCCAGTATGGCAGCCCTACCAGTCTATTGCTCGCTCACTTATACATTTTCTTTTCATTTTCTGAAAACTTTGGAGCTGACGTTTTAACATTCTCAATATTTAGTTGAAGTTTTTGATATATGCAGTTTGGCAGATGTTCCTTGATGGTTCCTCCACTTGGTAGCATTTTGTAAGTGGTTGCTTTCAATAAATAAAAATATGGATTATTAATATTATTGAACCTTTAATATTTGATTGGTTATATAACAGGGTATCTGCCGGTTTAAGGTTTATTTAAGACTTTTTAAGACCTTTTTAAGGCCACTTTGACCAAATTTAAGCTATAATTTCCAGCTACTGCCTGGAACCTGTGCTAACCACGTCGCAAACGTGGGATTAGCCATCCAGTTACCATTAAACTTGCACTTGCCCACTAGCTTAACCAGCTAATGTGCTCGTCTAAAACTAGCCCCCCTTTCACAACCAACTGAATGTGTACGGTTCTGCTTATGAATGATAAATGATGATAAATGACCCGCACTTGTATAGCGCCTCTCAGAGTAAGGACTCCAAAGCGCTTTACACTACAGTGTGTCATTCATCCATTCACACACACTGATGGTGATGAGCTACGATGTAGCCACAGCTGCCCTGGGGCGCACTGACAGAGGCGAGGCTGCCGAGCACAGGCGCCACCGGTCCCTCCGACCACCACCAGCAGGCAAGGTGGGTTAAGTATAAAAGTAATATTCAGACTATACTCATAATGCAGAAAAGGGCTATTAGACTAATAACTCAGGAGGGGTATAGGGCTCACACAAATGCACTCTTTATTAAGACGCAAGCTTTAAAATTCCAGGACCTGGTCAAGTTTAAAACAGTGCAAATAATATATAAGGTAAGGAAAGGGATGCTCCCAATTGAAATAAGTAAACGGTTGTTAGAAAGAGAAGGGAGGTATAATTTTAGAGGGAAGTGGAATTTAAAAGTACAAAGAGTACGAACAACATTGAAAAGGATGTCTATTTCAATAGCGGGCGTTAAATTCTGGAATGAGTTAACAGTAGGGCTGTAGCGAAGCCTCGACGAAGTCGACGGCTCGATTCTAAAAATTTGTCGACGTCAGATCCGGAAGTCGACGCACCGCGCCCACTTGTTGCATCCCCAGGAGTTTGTAAATAGAGGAGGAATCTGCCTGTTTTTCCTCTAGTTCGCCCTCTTCTCCGCCTTCACTAACATCTCCGCCAAATACCGAAGACCCGGAACAATGTCCGTCCACTACTAGATTATTTTCCTGTTTTGCCCCTTCGTCTCCCGGCAACGGACAACAACTTCCGGGGTCAGATGTGCGCTTCTCCGTCTCTGTCGCAGATGTAGAAAATCACCGGGAGCGTTTCTCCCTTCATAAAGGAGCTTCTTTCAGACATGAGGAGAGCTGTTTTGGTGGTAACGGTCTCTCCTCCGTGCTGGTCTGTTTGCTGCTGGGTGTTTTTGGTTTATTTAAACTTGGTAACTTGAACTTAATGTTGGTAAAGCTACTGTTAGCATCTTCGCTAACAGCTTCTTGCGTTGGGATAAGCTGTTACGTTTTGGTTTAGAGTTCATCTTTTTTGTGGTGTAGATCTCCCTTTTATTACATTTAGAGTGTTGTGGGTTTTCGGTTTAGTTAAAAATGTAAGACCACTCGCCTCACGCACATAAGTGACCAAAACAAAGCAGCATGGAGACACTCCATCTTCTACCACCTCTCAGGCAGCAGCCTGCACTCCCAGGTTCTACACGTCACCAGAAAACCAACACAATAAACGCAGTGTTATACAAAATGGAAGGCCTGTAGTGTTTATTCTCTTACAGTAAGAATTTATCAATTTTTTTGAGGAATTTTTTTGAGATTTTCTGGTTTTTGTTAATTGTGCAATAGAAAAATAATCATTAGATTAATTTTCTAAATAGTCATTAGAATAGTCGACTATTCGATAAAATAATCGTCAGAATAATCGTTTTAAAAATAATCGTTTACCCCCAGCCCTAGTTAACAGAAGAAATAAAGGACAGTAGTAATATAAACCAGTTTAAAATAAAACTCAAAAAAGAAATGTTAAATAAGTATAAGAATGAAGAAAATGCAATTAACCCAGGATGGCATGCAAACTGATGTTTAATCTCTTCTACAAATTAGCAAATATTAATATAGTTCTAGTTGAACATGAGAATTTTATTTATTTATTATTATTGTTATTTTTTGTGGGTTTTTTAAGGCATTGTAACTGTTTTGTTGTTTAAATTTTGATGATGAGGATGTAAACCTGAGGGGGTAGGGCTAAATAAGTATACACTTCTCCCTACTCCTTTTCAAACAATTGCGTGGAATGATTTTATGAAATGTTGGTGAATGTATATGTTTGAAATAAAGTGAACTGAACTGAACTGAAGTGTCTTGCCCAAGGACACAACAGCAGAATTCTCTGTCCGGAGCCGGGATCGAAACCTGCAACCTTCCAATTACTGGACAACCCGCTCCACCTGTTGAGCTACTGCTGCCCAACATCGATCTCATGCCAACATCGTACACAAAAAATGCTGAACACCAACTAGAAATTCATGAAAATTTTATAGACATAAAAGAATCTTGTTTATTGGGTCTTTGGACATTTAAGACCTCTGGAAACTGTATTTAAGGATTATTTGTCATTTTTAAGGATTTTTAAGACCTTAAATTTGGAAAAGCATATATAAGACTTTTTAAAGGACCCGCAGATACCCTGTATAAATAGGTAATTAAGGTATGCCAGGGAACAAACACTTTACAATAACTTGACACAGAGGCAAAAATATAGTTTATGAAAATCTTATTACTATATTTCTACTACTAATGATGCAGGACAAATGATTATAAATGTAGGGCTGCAGCTATCGAATATTTTTGTAATCGAGTACTATATCGAATCTTTAATCGATTTATCGAGTACCCTAATAAATTACCCTTTTGTGTTTGTAAACTATTATATCAAAAAGCATGTGATCTCTATTAAGGTAGCGCGAGTCAGGGTTGCCAATGACCACAGTCACCAATTCTTGTCATGTGTCTTGCCCATGTATGTCTGATCTCTGAGTTGTGTGTACTGAAACTAATCTCCTTCTGGGATTAATAAAGTATCTTTGAATTGAATTGAATAAAATATGAAAGACCTCTTAAAATGAGCAAGCAATTGCCAATTATTCAAGTTTTATTCAAAATTACTTTTCGAAACTTCAGCACTTCAACTTTACTTCACAGTAAACAAATGCGAGAGGCTGCGGCCCAAACGGCACCAGAACCGTTCACGGCGCATGCGCAAACATGGCTCGCCAGCTGTTTACCTATTAACACACGTCCGTTTTAATTTCTACACTTTTTTTTCCTCACACAATAACGAGGATTGTCGAGAAAGCATGTTTGCCGTGGTTATGTCAACTTATACTGATCACAACAATGGGTGGGAAATGGGTTGAAATATAACATGTTGGTGGAGCTGGGTTCCGACTATCGGCTTGTGGAGCTCTCGGGAGACTGATGCTTTCCACCCGTTTCTCCCCTCCCCGCAGCTCGGTGCATCTCTGTCTGATCGCGGCTTCTGTCTGCTGCGTGGGCTGCCGGCTTGTGGAGGTCTCGGGAGACGTCTGTGTTCCACTCGGTTTTACCCAGCGGTCAGCCCGGCGCATCTCTGACTCAGAAGCTCTGGTGTTGTGCACAGTTAACTCCGGTTGTAGCTAGGTTGCTACCTCCGTTAGCTTCAGGTTAGCTTGTAGCTAGTTTGACCGGGTGTCGTCAGTTGATCCCAGCCTTACAGCCCCACCCTCAGCTCCTCCTCTCTTCCCTTTTATGGAATGGTCTGGGCTTGACGGAACCTGTGACACGGTCAAAATGGCGGTGGTGGCCACCTCCCATTTAGCCTCAAAAACGTGTTATTGGAGCCTGTGGAAATGAATTGTCCAGTAAATATGTCGATGGTTGAAAACAACATTAATTCAACATTAAGTTTGTGAAAAATGAGGCTATGAAGACCACTGTAGTCAAAGCTCCGTGTGCTGCACCTAAAGGACTGTTGTTTTATCGGTTTTAACTAGGATCCTGGCCCAGTCGGACACCACATCGTCTTCTGCTGGATGTGTAATGAGCTACATTTAGATAGTTAAATACATATTTACAATTATTTTAGTGCAAGTAATTTAAAGTGACGCAAAAGTAAGTCTAACATTTAGAAATCAGTTATATAACAAATTTCGTTAAAATGGGAGTAACAAGTACATAATGATGGATTACTGTTCGACATAACTTGCCCAACACTGGCGGTTAATCAAGGTGAATTATTTATAAAGCTTCTAATTAACTAGTTTATTTTTAATCGACTCCCACCGCTGATTATCACCTAGTCCCCTGTGACCCTACCCTCCACTAAACCCGGGCACCACACTTGGTAATTAAAGGTGTACCTTTTGGAAACATCCATCAGAACACCTGAGAACACCTGCTCCCCCAGCCGGAAGGACACCACCAGCGCATCATCAATCACGTGATCCAAGTACACCCGGACTTCGGTGCCAGGACTCAGGTCCAACACCGGTTTTTGTCCAGAGGACTCCTGCAGCACACTGTGGCTCGGCGGATCCTCCTTCCCCGCGGGACTCTCTAAGGAGCCGGGTTCCGGTTCCGAGCGCTCCGCAGCTCCATCCAACACAACAAACCCGGGCCCCAGCTCCGCCTGAATGAGAGTCGTGTATACCCTTTTTGGGTCTGTGGCCTGAGCTCGGTCTGTCGTCACGTTAGTGGTGGGTTCTGCCGGTTCAGCCAAAGACAATCCGGCCTCGGTGACGGGCGGTGGGTTCGGTAGGGAATGCAGGAAGACGGCAGAGAGGTGCTTATCCGAGAAGGCGCTTCGGTAGGTACCACCGCTATCCGAGTTCGCTGGCAGTCCGGGGGAGGCCCGTTCGGTGCTGCTCCGATCCACCGGAACACCGCTCTCCAGCGACGCTTTTCCCGCCGCGGGCTCCAGCTCCGACCTGACATGGCGGACCTCTCCGTAAGCTCCATCCTCTATGTTCGTGCCCGGGCTTAACTCCGGAGGACCGTTGGGTTCTACTGGGAATTCTAATTGTCCTGAGCAAACTGGGCCCGGTTCTGGTTGGTCATCTTTGCTTGTCGCTGCGGTTATTGTCGGAACCGCCGCGGCTCCTGGCTCTGCAGCCACGGCAGCCATTTTATTCCGCTGTACTACTGAGCAGCCCCGCCCTCCCACCCTACGGCCAGACACAATGGCGTTCTACTATTGGTTGAGGGTCTTGTCAATCAAAAAAATACAAAGGCAACGCAATGACTGTGATTGGCTTACTCAGTCATATTCTGGGTTGCGTCAGATGGTCGCCACGGGGTGTTTATAACAAAAACAGCGAGATCAATGCAGATCGATTTGTGATCAATCAGTGAGCAGTTTGTTCTGATTATTCACAAATCCGTTGAACTGTTTTCAGAAGTGTCAACTATAGATAAGTGTTCCGATATTCACAAGAAAACCCTTCTGATTCTGAACCCATATCTGATATCGGCACATTCTTACTTATGTTAATTAAGTGATCTGGTCACAGCCTTCCTCAGACCAAAGCAGCCATTTCCACACCAAAAGGATTCCTCAACCCTGGATAAAGACTAAATTAAAACATCAAACCCATCACATAGACTTTAGAACTCAACAAAGATGGGACTACTCAGAGCCGGATTAACGCAAAGGCAAAGTAGGCACGTGCCTAGGGCCTGATTGGCTGGATGGGGCCCAGACAGAGGAACAAAATTATAAATAAATAAATTAAAAATTAAATGTACACATGTCCTATGATAGAATTTGTAGCTAGGACTCCTATCTACAATTTGTTTCAATATTTATTAATTAACTAAAAATAGTGACAATGTTTATCTTAACCATAGACCGTTTCATTGGCTACGTCACATTAAACCTCTGGGGTCCACGGACGAGTATACGCGTCTTTTGAACAGGTCTGATTTGGGACGCTGTAGCAGCAAGACTCCGCCTCCCTGAGTTTCGGTTTCAATTCAGCTTTAAAAAGCAGATTATAAACTACACCCCAGTTTTTAAATTTTGTTAATAGGCAACGTAAAAGCGGAGTTATACTAAACTAAAAAATGACCTATTTTTAGACAATCTGATAACTTGTCAAAACAGCGGTTTAGTAATCTGTGAGCGGGAATGTGCTTGTGAACATTAAAAACCCACAAAAACACGAGATCCTTTTGCTGTTGGTGGACGTCTCACATATTCAGCTGATAAAAAGTATCACACGAGTAACGAGATGTGCGCAAAAAGGAGCCGCTTCGCGGGGAAAGGAGTGGCGCGAACGGAGTAACAACAAACAATTAGACAGATATTGACGGTAAACTTTGTATTTTAGAGCGATCCGGACAGATATATTGTCTCTGCAGTTTAGTAGGCATTTATTAGGCTTTAATAAAGGATGATGAGAAGGATAAATGTCCACCAGGCAGTTCAGATAGTACGGCTGTTTTTTGAACTGGAAGCAGAGGAAGTGGACGGAGACTCGCAGCCGGAGTCTGAGGCAAATAGCGAGGATGATGATGATGATGTGGCAGATCCATCCTTCCTCATAGAAGAGTTGGGTCATGATGAGGTAGAGGATGAAGGCAGAGATCCAGCTCCTCGGAAATCCATCAAGAGGAGTGGGCGGCGCCGCGCAGCTGTCAGACCTCGGCGTGAGACGGAGCCACTCCCCACTCCAAAATCCATGTACATTATTGCCAAATTAATAAAATAAGTATAAATTCAGATAGTCCAGGTTGACTTGAAATTAATGATACCCCATAAGGCAATATTTATTGTTTTTATTAGAAAATACAAAAGAAAAACCAAAATGAGTCAAAAACGGTGATTTACACTCTGGATCCCAGAGAGCTAATAACTTTTTTAATTAGTTATTTGCTATATTTAGTCATATTTTTTATAAATGTACAGTCTAGATTACCAGTCTAAATGATAAAAAACATTTGTCATAAATGTTTGTTGGTTTCACAGCAAAATAAACAACTTTTTTCCTATTCAGATTTTATGTTTTTGAGTGATTTAAGGTCTAATACGCAACCCCTTTATGTCCAAATATACAAAATAAGTATAGATTCATAAAGTCCAGGTTGTGCTGAAAAGATTGATACCACATAAGGCAGTGATTATGGTTTTTATTTTGGAAATACAAAGGAAAACTCACTGCAAATTACACCCTGGACCCCAGAGGGTTAAGGCGCCACCCAATGAAGGACGTCAGAGAAGCGGTCAGAGTCAGAGCGGGACACAACAAAGCTAGCAGGTGTTTTTGAGTAGGCTAACTTTCACGATGCTTTCGGGTGCGGCAAAACGTAACAAAGAAAAATATTTAAATGAAGAGGAACTAAAGAAGAGACAGCGGGGGGCTTTACAGAAGTTTCTGTCGGGCTGCTCGGGCAGCCGTCCGACAGCTGTGAACATGCTCGAGTCAGCAGAGCCAGAGGCCGGGCCCGAGCAAGACCCGGAGGAAACACAACCCGAAGACGCGGTGGAAGATGTGGCGGAAGATGCTGTAGCGCCAACGCCGTCAACATCAGCGCCTTCACAGAAGGACAAACTGGAAGAACAGCAGCCAGCCAGAAGTGAGCCCAATATAGTCTTACAGGAGCCCCTAGACCCCGACAGGGTATTAACAACTAGCTACCCATCTGATCCTGCAAAGTGGTACCAAACTGATGAGTACTTTGCACTAAACTATCCCTCTCAAAATATTGGATATTCTTCTGCATCACAGAGGAAATCTGGAGACATAGACTGAAGCTTAACCAAGGAACATTTCTTTAGACGTGTTTCTGCTGTGATTGAGGCCCTGTGATGCTGGAAGGCTGAAGATTATCCCGGAGTAGAGAATGCTAAATGGTTTCCTTGGTAAGTGTTGCTGGTTTTATTAATTATTTGTCAAATAATTTTATTAATGTTCAAGTAGCAAAACAATAAGTTCACACTCAGAAAATTGACAGAATTTCTGATTCAGCAGAGGCAACAGCCTACAACACATGACTTATTTTGGCATACAAACAACCAATTTGCAACCAAAAACTAGGCTATGTAAAATGTGAATGAACTTTTATAAGTAAATTTGGTAAGTTTCAGATTTCAATTCATTACATAACATCGATGGAGGGGGGGGGCCTAAAAATGCAGCCTGCCTAGTGTAGTCCATTTATTTAATCCGGCTCTGGGACTACTTCTTATATTTTTGGCCTTTCGTGGCTGCTTCCAACACTTTTTTTGTTTGTGAGAAACTTTCTGTACATGTCTGTGCACTCCACTGTAAAAGCTGACAGATTTGCAGCTCTGCCTTCACCCTTTCCACATCAAGATTATTTTTCTCATTTCTTCATGCGGTCGTCATGGAAAAAATCCTTCTGTATCTGCATGGAATGGAGAAGATGGAGGTGCCAGCTTTCTTAAGGTTTACCAGTGGGACATCTGCTTTAGAAAACCTGAAGATAGCGCGCCTCACTCTGACAATCTTCCATTTCTGAAGAGCTGTGTAACGATCTGTAGGTGGTCACTTTTAATAAATTATCAATAGAATACAAAGATATTCAATAAAATGTAATATTCCATAAAAATATGGATCATCAATATTATTGAGAGGCTATCATTTTCAGCCCTAAGACTTCTCCAAGCCCCCAACTGACCCTTCCTTTTATTTCAAGTGGGTTGAAAACCTGTGTCTCACACTTAGGGGTCGTGATGGACGCTAACCTAAAAATGGACATTCATGTCAACCAGGTAGTTAAGACCTGTTTTTTCCACCTCAGGCGTCTCTCTAAAGTTAAGCCCACTGGCGGCGTCCATCTTACATCTGCGTCACGACCAAAAACGACTCTGCCGAGTTCTACCGAACCAACGAAAGCCTTTGGCGGTAGCTCTATCGCCCATCATGCTTCTGAAACAACGTTGACGCTGATTGGATGCATTCCCATTCCTACCGTTTGATTTTCTTGTCAGCAATAGGTCGGCGGGTTCCGTGCAGTTTGGGCGATTCAAAAACAGCACACAGCCTTTCTGTCGCCTCCACCGCTCGGCAGAGAGCTTCTCATCAATATAGATATATAAATATATGATTTGTTTTTGTTACAAAACACACAATTAACTTAAAATATGTGATTATTGTTAATTTTATTTATTAATTTTTTTTAATAGAAATTAAAAACACTGGGGAAAACTGGGAGGGCGGCGCCCTATCGCCCTCTACTGGCCAGCCGCCACTGGTTAAGCCCATTTTAAAAAGGCGTCATCTCCATTCAGTATTCCGTGCCTTCATTACCTCCCGTCTCGACTACTCTAATTCAGTACGACATGGTATCTCCTTCTCCACTCTCGCCCGCCTTCAGCTAGTGCAGAACGAAGCAGCTCGTTTCTTGACTGGCACCAGGCAGCGAGAACACATCACAGCCGGTTTTGTCAAATCTCCATTGGCTCCCCATCTATCTCCAGATAGAGTTTAAGATCCTGGTTTGTGTGTTCAAATCCCTCAATAACTCAGCACCTGGCTACTTGTCTGAGCTCATTCACCCTTATGTCCCCACGCAATCCCTCCGATCAGCCGACCAGCACCTTCTTCATGTCCCTAGCTCCCGCTGTAAGTCCTGCAGGGAGCGCTTTTTTTCAGTTTGTGCACCGAAGCTCTGGAACCACTCGCCCCTCCCGATCAGACTCTCTTCCTCTTTCATTTTTGAGTCTCGTTTAAAAACTCACTTTTCCGCTTTGGCTTTTAATTCAGCCTAATTAATTCTCTTTTTCCTTTTCTTTTGTATCTGAATCACTCGATTTTAATGGATTTAGTTTTTATTATGTTTAATTGTTTTTATTATAGGCTGCGCAGAGGCGCAGTGGTTAGAGCTGTTGCCTTGCAGCGAGAAGGTCCTGAGTTCGATTCCCGGCCTGGGATCTTTCTGCATGGAGTTTGCATGTTTTCCCTGTGCATGCGTGGGTTCTCTCCGGGTACTCCGGCTTCCTCCCATAGTCCAAAAACATGACTGTTAGGTTGACTGGTCTGTCGAAATTGTCCTTAGGTTTGAGTGTGTGTGTGCATGGTTGTTGGTCCTGTGTGTCTCTGTGTTGCCCTGTGATGGACTGGCTCTCTGTCCAGGGTGGACCCTGCCTACTTGCCCGTTGACCACTGGAGATAGGCACCAGCCAGCCCCCCCCCCCCCCCCCACGACTCTGCGTGGACAAAGCGGGTGCAGAAGATGGATGGATGTTTTTATTATTTGTTTTTGTTCAGACTTTGGTCGGCTCTCATGCGTGTTTAAATGTGCTATACAAATAAGCTTGGTATGGTACTGTAACGGAATGAGATGACTGTTTTCCACCAAAAGTCATTTTCCCCCTCTCCTCTGACACAGAACTAGTCTGCATGAGATATTGCCTCAAGGTCTCATGCATTTGTTATAAACTGCTTCTTTCCAGCTCAACAGAAGAATGAAGAATGGACTCTCTCATTTTAATAAATAAAAGAACTCTATTTTTAATAAGCTAATCAAACAAAGTGTTAGTCAATAATAAGATGTGACCAATCTGTGAAATCAAAATATTAATTGCTTTATGATAATCCTATAGAATATAATAAGTAATATGACTTTAAATGCTTCCACTAGGAGCATCGCCATATACATATATGGACAATGGGTTTCCATAGGCTCCAATAACTCATTTTTGAAGAAAAATGGGAGGTGGCCACCACCGCCATTTTGACCGTGTCACGGGTTCCGTCAAGCCCAGACAATTCCACAAAAGGGAAGAGAGGAGGAGCTGAGGGTGGGGCTGTAAGGCTGGGATCAACTGACGACACCCGGTCTAACTAGCTACAAGCTAACCTGAAGCTAACCCAAAGTTAACGCAGAGGTGGGAGCTAAGCTAATGGAGGTAGCAACCTAGCTACAACCGGAGTTAACTGTGCACAACACCAGAGCTTCTGAGTCAGATTTGCACCGGGCTGACTGCTGGGTAAAACTGAGTGGAACACAGAGGTCTCTAAGACCTCCACAAGCTGGCAGCCGCACAGCAGACAAGCGCCGCTGCAATCTGAGATGCGCAGAGCTGCCGCTGGGGAGAACCGGGTGGAAAGGTTTCTAGCCCAGAGCTCCACAAGCCGGCAGCCCGCGCAGCAGACAGAAGCCGCGATCAGACAGAGATGCGCTAAGCTGCGGGGAGGAGCGAACCGGGTGGAAAACATCGGTTTCCATTTGAGAGCTCCACAAGCCGGGGGTTGTCAAACTGTTGTTCCACCCTGTCTCTGTAATCACGTTTGGCTGCTTTGATCGTCTTCCGGAGTTGGTAACGTGCGTGTTTGTAGTCTGATGTGTTCACGGAGGCAAAGGCGGTGCTCCGCGCCGCCTGCGCCGTTCGCACACCTCCATTAATCCAGGGTTTTTGATTCGGGAAGGATTTAACTGTTCTGGATGGGACAACATCTTCCACTCATTTCCTGATAAATCCGCAGACTGAGTCTGTGTACTCATCAATGTCTCTAGCAGCCGCGTGAAACATTTCCCAGTCCGCACGATCAAAACAATCCTGCAGCGTAGTCTCCGATTGGTCCGACCAACGATGCACCTCCCTCAGGGTTGGAGCTTCCCGTTTCAGCTTCTGTCTGTAGGCCAGTATAGGCAGGATGGAGCGGTGATCTGATTGGCCAAATGGGGCGCGGGGGAGGGCTTCATACGCATCTCGGAAAGATGTGTAGCAGTGGTCGAGTAGCCGGTCTCCACGTGTATTGAAATGGATGTGTTGGTGTAGTTTTGGTGAGACTTTCTTCAGGTTACCCTTATTAAAGTCCCCGATCGTAATAAACGCCGCCTCTGGGTGGACGGTTTCCTCATTGCTGATCGCGCTGTACAGTTCTCTGAGTGCTCGGTCAGTGTCGGCTTGTGGGGGAATGTAAACAGCCGTAATAATCACCGCTGTGAATTCTCTCGGTAGCCAGAATGGCCGGCACTTAATCATCAGGTACTCCAGGTCCGGAGAGCAGAAGGATTTGACCGGGTGCACGTTCGCATAATCACGCCAGCTGTTGTTGATCATGAAACACACACCACCGCCTCTGCTTTTCCCAGTAAGCTCCTGTGACCTATCTGTGCGGTGCACGGAGAACCCCGGTAGTTGCACTGCGGTGTCCGGTACTTTGTCCGATAGCCAGGTTTCTATGAGGCAGATCGCGCAGCTGTCCCGCATCTCTCGCTGGAATGAGATCCGAGCCTGAAGCTCGCACAGCTTGTTCTCCAGGGACTGCACATTAGCCAGTAGTAAACTGGATAATGGTGGTCTGTTAGTGCGCCGTCTCAGTCGAACCAGAACGCCAGATCTTCTCCCTCTGCGTCGGCGCTTGCGACCTCCACGGGCCCATAACAAATGCGTCTCAGGTGAGATAAATGGGGGATCTGCAAACGGTGGGTCCGTGATGAAAAACCTGAACTCCGGAAAGTATTGAGAAAATCCGTCTTTTATGTCCAGTAAGGTTTGTCGGTCGTACACAAGGAGACATGTGCTACTCGTGAAAAAATAAAGAAAAAGAAAAAGTAGTAAGCACAAAAAACAGCTGTTGCTTGGTGGAGCTCATGACGAGGCAGCCATACTCGGCGCCATCTTGGTTGGAATGATTCTTGGTTTCTTGGTTGGCTGCTTCTCGGCAGGAGAAGCAGCAGCAAAAGCGGAGAGAAAGATCCGCGGCCGGAGACGCCAGCACACAGAGCGCAACACGGCAGGCGGGCAGAGTTACTCTGCCCCCGCGCATAAGTAACTGATCAGTGCCTGGCAGTGTTAGAGTTGCTCTCTCTCTGTGAGTGGTCTGGTGCCGGGGACCTATTTACTGCCGGAGTTGTTGTGTGCCACAGGGGCCGGGCCGAGGAGGAGGCAGATTGGATCCATCGTGCGGCGATCCTGTGGTTCCCAGACTACAACACCGGCCTTGGAGATTCCATGGTCGAGAGCTCAGCAGGGCCGGACTGAACCCCCTTGTCCCTTGGGGCCCTGCGCACACTCGATTGAATGTTTTTTTTTTCCCTTGGCATCATCATCAGGGTTTTGTAATGTCCCTTTTTAATTTGCTTTGGCTGTCGCACTGCTTGCCTTGTTTTTTTAGAACCTATTTTAATCCTTTTAATATTAGTGGCACCTTCCATTCCACCTGGATCGTGTCACAGATACATAACCCAAAGCAATATTACAATAACATAAACTCGTACACAAAACGCTCCTCTTGATAGAGCAAATCTGTTCAGCACATTCTGACAGACAGAAACAACTTGGCATAAATGATACTTCCTTTTTTGTCTCAACCAAAGAAATTCCAGTAATTGAGCAAAAACATTTATTTTTTTACGTCACTTTTTATAAAATAACAGGACACAAAGTGTCGGGACATTTAAAAAATACTTAAAATAATAAAAGTGGCCCAGAGAGCTGCAGAGTGAGTGGAACATTGGGTTGTGAAGGAAGAACAGTTCTCAACAGTGTGATATGAGGGTGTAGAACACATATGTCAGACTCAAGGCCCGCGGGCCAGATGCGGCCCGCGGAGCATTTTTATGTGGCCCGCGAGATAAATATCAAAATATATTAAAACTGGCCCGCTGGCTGATTTTACAGCAAAGACTTCAACTCCCATGATGCTTTGCGGCATCAGCGCGGAGCCGACGGCCCCCCTCCTTTGTGTTTTTTCCAGCGCCTGCTGCCGGTGTCTGCAGCTCCGCTGTCTCGGACAAACTAAACACTCCTCTCACTCAGCGCCGAGTTCACTCAGCTGTTTTCTGACATTGAAGCCCAGAAACGGAGATTCTAGCCGCTCAGTAATGTGTTCACGACTGAAAGAGAAAGTTTTCCAACTAACGTCCACACAGGGCTGATATAACTCCAGCAAACAGCGACACGCTCAAACCAGCACGACTCTGTGGTTGTCATTGTGTTTCCTCCCCGACACACAACAACGTGGTCAAGCTGCTCAGACATGTTCAGCAGCACAAACCTATGTGAGCACCTGTTGTCATCTAATGTTGTCATTATTATGATGAAGATGAACAAAACAACAGGAGTCTCCTCCTCAGCTCAGATCAGCCCCATGATGCAGGTATCTGGCTGGAACAGGTGAGCATCACAGTAAACCAGTGGAGCAAACTGAGCTTTAAATATGTTGGTTTTATGCTCTTTTTCTGCTCCAAAACATGAAAGTTAACAGGTGAGATGTTGCATTTTCATTTAAGATAAAATGATATTTTTATTTTGTTGTTGGCCTGTGAGAAAAGAATTAACCTACAGTAAACAGGAAGTGGAAAGGCTGCAGATAGATGAATAGAATAGAAAATCCCTTTATTGTACCTCAGTGGGGAAAGCTAGACGTCACAGCAGCGATGACACGTATTACAGGAGAAAACAAGGAGAATAAAAAATAAGAAAAATGAATAAACAAGAAAACATAAATCCTGAATAGATTTTAAAAATGCTGATTATACCACAAGTAATGAATACCACTGATGCCTTTTATATAAAACTGACTTGCTCGTGTGTAATTTGGTTATTCCACATTCAGTGTTAATGCAGAAATAAGTTTGTTTCCAAATTTAAAGGTTCAAAATTGCATATATGTTGATAAAGAAAATGTCCAAATTTGCCGTCACTTTTTCAAAAAATATTAAGTTTGGCCCTCGACTCCGTCCCAGAGTTTCATTTCGGCCCCGTGTGAGTTTGAGTTTGACACCCCTGCTGTAGAAGGTGAAGCCGGTGCAGGTCCTCCTTCATGTTCACCAGATTCACACTGCAGATCAGGAGCTGCTCTTCCATGCATGGAGTTGAAAAAGAAGGGGAGAAGGTCTTTCCACCTTAGTCCCCCCCCCAACCGAACCAGGAGACACAGACGTCAGGGAGGCCAAGGTTGTGTCTGAGGGTCTCTGCAGCTTTCTGGGCACCACGCCTCACTCAGCTGTCACCGATGATCCAAATGGCTATGGAGAAAAAAAAACAGGTTTGGCCTAGCTGTTTAAAGTACAAAACCATACATGAAGTGGTCAAGACAGGTACTTGGTACTTACACTTGCTGCGTTGTGTAGCTGATGTTGGAGACACACAGGCTGCCATGGTGACCTTTTAACAGATCTAAGAAAAAAATTTAATAAAAGAATGAAACTTAAAAACTCCCAGACCTCATGTCATATTTACTAATCAGCTATGGCTTATCTATTGTTTGGATCACAGTGAGTTACACTAATTCTAATATATTTTTATTTCTATTACACATACATACTTTTTAACTGTTATTTTCACATGACTGTTATCAGGCTGTCTTGTTCTGGTTCTCATGATAATAATTCTGTTTCTTCCAGTAAGTTATCTTGTGCTTACTTCATCTGTATAATGTCTCTTTACTCTTGGTGAATTGTACTGAGTCCAGAATAAAGGCTACTTGGCTGTACAAGATACAAACAAGTATTACGTTTTGGAAATATATGAAATGTATTTAGCCTGCTAATTTATCTCAAATACTAATAACTACCATATTTTCCGGACTATAAATCGCACTTTTTTCATAGTCTGGCCGGTCCTGCTAATCCGAAGCGACTTATAAAAAAAAATATGTAGGCTACACCGCGCTGCTGCGGGCCGGCTCCGACCCAAGAATGAGTTCCCCTGCCCCGCTGGGAGGGTTTCAAACACCTCCTTCCTCTGCTGGAGACCGTGGCGCGCTGCTGCGGCGCATTATTCGGTTATTGTTAACGGTACTTATCTTGCAATGTGAAACGCTTTGTCTCAGATTTTGTAAGAAAAATAAAATTTCCCCCCAAAATACGACTTATATATGTTTTTTTTCTTCTTCGTTATACATTTTATGGCTGGTGCGACTCAGGAGCGACTTATAGTCCTGAAAATACGGTACGTGATAAAGAGTGAAAACTTGCTCAAAGCAAAATATATTTTCATTACGGAAATAACTTATAAACTTACCAATTTAATATTTTTTATTCACAGAAAGGTACTTTTCATGAAAAAGCGCCGCAAACCTCCACCTGAACTCCATGCGGTCGATGGGTGTTCCACAGAGTTAGCTCCGGTTGTGGCTAGGTGGCTACATCCGTTAGCTCGGCTCCCACCTCCGCGTTAGCTTTGGGTTAGCCAGGGTTAGCTTCAGGTTAGCTTGTAGCTAGTTCGACCGGGTGTCGTCAGTTGATCCCAGCCTTACAGCCCCACCCTCAGCTCCTCCTCTCTTCCCTTTTATGGAATTTTCTGGGCTGGACGTAACCTGTGCCACAGTCAAAATGGCGGTGGTGGCCACCTCCCATTTTAGACCAAAAACTTGTTTTTGGAGCCTATGGAATCGAATTGTCCAGTATATATGTCGATGGTTAGTTCGCGTGACTCTCACCCTGGAGTCTGGGGATCAAATCCCGCCCTGGCCCTCGTTTCTCCACCTTGCCACAATATCATGGGTGGTATTTGTGATGGTATTTACTTGCAATGATTGTTTTCATTTGGTGTAGTCCCAAGGTGCGTGAGTGTAACCCATTTATTATGTTAAATTATAATTACACAATATGCATTTTATTTGAGTTTTAAAACACTGAGACTGTCTCTTTAAGATTAAGCTCCTCCCCATTTCTTCTTCTGTGGTTTTATCTCCTTAAACTCTCCTGTTTGCAGTAAATTGAGCCGTAAACATGAGAGTTTAAGGGGTTGGATTGGGGGTTAAACCACCAAATGGTGCTTGAGCAGAGCCACAGCTCCAGCTCACCGCTCCCCTAGGGAATGGGTCATGTGTGGAGATGTAATTTCACCAGTGTGTGACGACTAATGGGAAAAAGTTCCTTCAAAAGACAACACAACCCTAAACCTCAATTCTTCATAGCTAGCACAACGCAGATATCAACCGGTTACAGCAGGAAGGAAAGCCTTCACCTAGCCCCATAGAGCTGTGTGTGGTTGAGATGTTGTTCTGTATAGTCTGCTTTCACAACATCATTCTGAAACTTTCATTAATTTGTCTATCTGTCAATAAAAGTTATAATCATAAGAAACTGAACCTTCAGCTCAAACCTGCAAAATAAAGATATGGTTTGTTGTTTGGCCCCCAGTTACATCTGTCGGGTGGTCACAACTGTACCTGACAGCTAAACAGACCAGGCTGACGGCAAACTACTCACTGTTCATGAACACTTTTATTGATTACGAACTGTTACGTTAACCATGACATTGTGCTTTTTATTTGGTTGATTCTTCATTAAGAACAATTAATGATTCATCATCTTTAGATTCATTTGCCATCAATCACACGATTCTCCGTTTTTAAAACGTTTGTTTGTCCTGAAGGGCCAGCACCACTGGCTTGATTGGATGTTAGCGGTCACCGTTGATTGTTCACAGTGCATTGAGGCCACTTCCTTCTCTGTCCTTTCTGTCTTTGAAAGCGACATTGCCTTTTTTAGTGACAACACCACCACATGGCATCACATCATCAGAAGAGTTCACATCCTCCTTCAGTGACACGGTCTCTTTCATTTGGGAGGAGCTTCTTCCAGACCTTCACCAAGAGAGTCAAAAACAGAAGATTTTATATCATGATAGGAGGACAACTTCTGCCCCGACCCCAATTAGTTCTTCTGAACTTGACCTACTGCCCAGTTATCCAGATATATGTGTCTCCGAGTAGACATGTCTACAACAGACAGGCACACAGCGGACACACTTCATCTCACCTTCTCTCCTCCACGTCCTCGATGGTGTCAGGCAGCGGCCTGTTCAGCGTCTCTGGAAGGAAGCAGGCAAAGCCGCTGGCTAGCACTGCAGCACCCCCATAGACCATGCTGGGTAGAGCAGGAAGCACCTGAGGAAATCAGTGACAGTTTTACCTGATGATCAGCTGCTAAGCAGTGGTGGAAACAGGTGAAGACATCACCTCATCCAGAATCAGGACTGCAGGGGCTGCCATGCTGCCCACTCTCGCCATTGTGGAAACAAAGCCCATTCCAGTCTGCCTGAAAGTAGAAACCACGCCGTGGGACCAGAGTGTGACAGAATGAAGCTAGAAGTCGTCATGGATTTTGGCTTCAGGCCACGTAGTCTCACCTAATCACAGTGGGGTAGAGCTCTCCAGTGTACAAGTAAACGGTGGTGAAGGAGGCAGAGGTAAAGGCTTTACCCAGACAGGCCAGCGTGGTCCTGAGGGTCTGTACGTCTATCAGAAACCAGACTGGATCAGGGCAAATGTGATCGTACTCACACACAAGCACCAGGTCAGACCAGACAGGCAGCATTTAAATCAGGTCTGGGATCAGTTTGTTAGTCAGGACACCTACCTGGAAAGCATTCAGGATCACAAACACACCACACACTAGGCTCAGGTTAACGACCATGCAACACAGGACACTAATCACCATAGGGTAGGGCTGGACAATATGGAAAAATGTATATGCACCAAAAATCATATTGATCAATATCAGTTACTGATAACTAAAGGAAAATGTTTGTTTACATTTAGCGCTGGTCATTTTATGTCATCCCCTTACGATAAAGCAGGTTTCCCGTGTTACCAGACCTGGTTTTGGTTTTTGTATTAAACCTGTAAAAACCTAAATGTTGCCGAGCTGGTGAACTACTGGAAGCTTTATTTCAGGACAATTCTCTCTTCATGCTGAGGTCTGTCTGGGTTTGAGAGGGGACGGCTCGGTGATCCTGGGTCGTGATTGGTTGTAAGTAAGTAAAGAGTCTAGTCTGAAGCTACCACATAGGCTATAATGAAAAAAGAAATTATTTTAGAAGTTTTTATTGACTTATTATATTTATGTCTACTGATCGATAAATCTCATAATTAAATTATTGTCCAGCCCTACCGTAGGATAATGATCAGAAGCAGAATTCAATTAGAAAGCAGTTCTGGCATCATGATGTTGATCTGGAGCAGGTCTGAAGTCAGGACAGGATTCAATACCTGAAGGGACAAAGATGTTGGCAAAGATGATGACAGCTGACAGGAAAAGACAGGACACCTGAGAAACCCGCCTTCCCAAGTAGCTGAGCATGCCCAGAGCTAAAAACTTTGCAGGAATATCAACAGCTCCAAAGATGATTTGCATCAGATAAATATTCACCTGAAACAACCAATTGGAAAGGAGTTTGGTATGAACAAGCCAGTTGGACATAAGGAAGGTTTAAACCAGGTGGATTAAACCTTCAACACAAGTTGACAGCTAGAGAACTCACTCCAAATTTCTGTAGATCCATTGCCAAACCGTAATATGCAAAACTGGTGGAGAACCTGCAGACAGGTAAACAGGTAAACACCTGTATAGGTACAAAAACGACTCAGTTCTACTTGTCATCATACCTGACACATAGAAGAATGAAAGCTAGTTAAAGAAAAGCACCAGATTTAAAACCCAGAACAGAGACGAGATCATGAGGAAGGCATAAACAGGTTCAAAGGTACATTTCTGACCAGACAGCTATCAGACAGGCAGAGATGCGTCTCATTCTTCTGGTCCTTAGCAGGTCAAAAGCTGTGAATGATGAACGACTGGACTCTATCTCTTTCCCCATGTGAGAGTGGAGAACCTGCACCCACAATGTACTGGACTCAGTTTTGGACTGGACAGAGAAAGATCATATTTTTATGTAAAACTCAGGAAGAACCTCTAGAGTCAGCTTGTCCACGACCTCCGGCCTGCCATTAATCCGAGCGACTCTGTGAAGACTTTTTAGAGCGTCTTCCGACTGACGATTCAGCACCAACCAGCGAGCTGACTCAGAATACCACCTGTCCATTCAGAGAGCAGAGGCTGAAAACCCCTGACCAATCAGCTACAATAAACTAGAACTACCTGACTAGTTAGAGATACTGGCCCAGTCCCAACACCCACACTGCAGCCAGAGGTCTTCAGTTAAGTGCACTTGGATGAAGTGCACACAAGGCTTCGAGCGTGTAGTGAACAACCGAGCAAATAACTGTAGAATTGGAACTGTGAGCAGAACATGCATCATCGATCGTGACTTCTTAAATTGGAATGGTGGTAGATGTTTGTGCTACTGTACCGTTCGAAATGATATTAAAACCAGATGATACAAGTGATTAAACTACCGCCACGTCACAAATACCCACCAGCACCGTTATCAGTTAACAGTGGTTTTCATCAGACGTGTGACACATCTTTCCCTGAGAGAAACGTGTGACTGTAGTCGTATACGGACACCATAAAATAAACGGCCCTAGAGCCACTTCTCTAAATATCACCCAGCTATGGATTGTGGGTAATACCCTTTGTGGAAGTCCACACCGATGAGGGCTTCAATGAAGTGTTGATTAAAGGGGCAAAGGGGGCGTGGCCAAGGTTCACACTTGAGAATCACGACGCACTCACACCACTGAACGGGAACGGGAAGGGTGGAAGTGTGAGTACTGGGACTGGTTCAACGTTGGGACCGCACTAACCAGCTGTAGGTAAAAAAGAGGAAATGAGGAGCACAGACAAAAACCTGAAGCTTCCTCCAGTCTCTCAGCCAATAAGCAACCCCTGCCAAGAGCATTTGTCCAAAGGTAAAGAAGAAGGAGGTGAGTGTTCCCACGAGTGTCCTCGATTTGGTCGGAATCCACTCCACCTCTGGCGACAAACAGAGACATTGAACAAGACAGGAAGATCTGGAAAACAGCTGAACAGGTGAATTAAAGGTACTTAGAGAGACTCCATTGAGGATGATTCCAGACACGGCCATTCCACTTAGAAATCTAAAAACACAGTAGGCGGAGTATGAGGGTGAGAGGGCAGAGCTACAGCCAAGAACACCCAATTGTAGGTACGACCAAATAAGGACAGACTTCCTCCCAAACCTGACAGGAAGAGAGACGGATTGTGGTTTGAGTATCCGGTACGTCAGTGACAGATCATCAGAAACAGCTGCTAAAAGGTGATCCTCACCTGTCCGACAACCCCCCATAAATGATGGCTCCTGTTAGAACTCCGCCCATATAAATAGTCTGAATCATCTGTTTGAGAGGACGCAGAGAACACACCAGGCCCCACTGGAAAAGCACAAGAACAGGTGTAGAGATCCAAAAATGTCACTAGCTGTCACTGTTGGGAGTAAGGGCGTTTAGGGTATGTATTTGTACAGCGCCTTCTTAGGGTTCTACAACCCCCCCAAGGCCCTTCACAACACAATCATTCACACCCTGGTGATGATGAGCTACAATGTAGCCACAGCTGCCCTGGGGACCACTGACAGAGGCGAGGCTGCTGAACACTGGCACCACCGGTCCCTCCGACCACTGCCAGCAGAGAAGGCAGGTGTGTGTATGCGTGCGCTTGTGCATATATGCGTGTGTGTATGTGTGTGTGTGAGTATGTGTGCATTCGTGCATGTGTGTGTGTGTGTGTGTGTATGAGTGCGCTCGTGCATATATGCGTGTGTGTGTGTGTATGTGTGCATTTGTGCATGTGTGTGTGTGTGTGTATGAGTGCGCTCGTGCATATATGCGTGTGTGTGTGTGTATGTGTGCATTTGTGCATGTGTGTGTGTATGCGTGCGTTTGTGCATGTATGTGTGTGTGTGTGTGTGTGTGTGTGTGTGTGTGTTCGTGCATGAATGTGTGTGTGTGTGTGCGTGCGTGCATGTGTGTGTGTGTGTGTGTGTGTATTCGTGCATGAATGTGTGTGTGTGTGTGCGTGCGTGCATATGTGTGTGTGTGTGTGTGTGCATGTGTGTGTGTATGCGTGCGTTTGTGCATGTATGTGTGTGTGTGTGTGTGTGTGTGTGTATTCGTGCATGAATGTGTGTGTGTGTGTGCGTGCGTGCATGTGTGTGTGTGTGTGTGTGTGCATTTGTGCATGTGTGTGTGTATGCGTGCGTTTGTGCATGTATGTGTGTGTGTGTGTGTGTGTGTGTATTTGTGCATGTGTGTGTGTGTGTGTGTGTGTGTGTGTTCGTGCATGAATGTGTGTGTGTGTGCGTGCGTGCATGTGTGTGTGTGTGTGTGTGTGTGTGTGTGTGTGTGTTCGTGCATGAATGTGTGTGTGTGTGCGTGCGTGCATGTGTGTGTGTGTGTGTGTGTGTGTGTGTGTGTGTGTGTGTGTGTGTGTGTGTAAAACCAGTTTGCCCTGCTTATTGATGTCAGAAACTTTACTGATCCTGCTGCGGTTTGTAGACCAGCCCCTTTCTAAATGGGTAAGTAAATAACTAGTGTTAGTGATAGTGTACATTACTGTTGTATATTTTCCTTTTAAATAAACATATTTGTTTGTATTTACATTTATTAAATCCATCTTTTGCTGTAAAACTGCATTTAAAATTATGGAAATGCTGTGTTTCTCATATGTTGTGTGTGTGTGTGTGTGTGTGTGTGTGTGTGTGTGTGTGTGTGTGTGTGTGTGTGTGTGTGTGTGTGAACCAACAAAAGAAGGCAGGACATTAATGATTGAAAGAAGACCAGTCCCCCCCCCACCCCCCACCACCCATTTTGTTACTGATCTCAGAACCTGCGAGGTCGCTGAACTTCTGATCAGTTGACAGGAAACAAAAGTTCAAACAACTGTGTAATCAGGGTTGTTATTTTAGTCAGAGGAACATAGGTTGGATCCCAAGTCCCTGTTGAAGGGCCCATAGGCAAGTCTCAAACCCCCAGCCTGTTCATGAAAAAGAGACTGCAGTGGTCCCCCCATACCGAAAACCCCTAGAGCTGACCCTAGTAACGCCTAGATTATGCTGCTACGTATGCGTTAGTACAAAGACGTGCAATGCCCGGACAGAGTCGAGCCCTCTTTTAAAGTTAAAGTCCCATTTGCTGATGCGTGTGTGAAATTTGTTCTCCACATTTGACCCATCCCCTGGGAGACCAGTGAGCTTCAGACGTGGCCGCGCTCAGGAACCATTTGGCGGTTTAACAGCGCCGCCATTGCCCCCTCAAAAACATAAAGAGAGCCGAGGAGATCTACCAGCAGACATGGAGCAGCTTGAAGAATATCTCGTAGAAAAAGTCTAAGAGTATGAAAGTTTATTCACCCGTGACTGGAGGTTTAAAAAGATATGCAGCAAGCGTTTTATTCATGGACAGAAATGACGGGCAGCGTGGGGTTAGAGGTGGCGAGTGCATGAACAGGTGGAGGAGGATGAGGGACAGATTTTCGGTGTTAAAAAGTCTCGTAAATACAAAAAACACAATATAAACACACCATCTTGGACTGGATACCAGAGAACAGCGCTACGCCCCCTGTTGTCCTGGCAGGGAATTGCTTTGCAACACTCTCCAGGAGATGGAGAAGCCCAGGAACAAAACATCTGTCAATGCGTGTGAGTGGAGCTGACGCAGAAGCATAAACTAGGCTTAACTTCAATCATTTTGGCCAATTTCTAACCTTCTACTCATCTAAAAAATTCTAGCTATGAGATTTTCAGGTAAAAATTTCATCTAATAATACTCCCAAACTGCACCGTCCTGTAATGGATATAACCTGAAGAACCGGACATTCAGCCAAAACACACGATTAAAAATTTAAAGATGATATTTATTTTAGAAGGGAAGAGTAGAAAGTCTTCAGTCAGCCTCACTGGCTACCAATAAAATTCAGAGTTGATTACAAAATCTTACTCCTCACATATACGGTTGACAACCATGCCCCCTCACATTTCCCACAGCTCAAACAAGTTTCTACACGCTGCCGCATGCTCAGATCCTCAGCTTCCACCAACCTGCCCAACCCTGGGCTGCATGGTGGCAGAGTGGTTAGCACTGTTGTCTCGCAGCACGAAGGTTGCAGGTTCAAAACTCGGCTGCGTGCGTGGGTTTCCTCCGGGTACTCCGGTTTCCCCCACAGATCACAACATGCCCTGTAGGTTATAAATTGTAAGTTGCTTTGGACAAAAGCGTCTGCTAAATAAATAAACATAAACCCTGCTCGTGTTGTCACCGTGGGAAGTCATAGATTCAGCAGATTTGACCTCTCTCTGGGGAAAATCACCCTTCACCTTTTCAAGGCTAAACACTAAACTCACCTGTTCAAGGCGGCTTTTGCAAGACCATCATCACTCCTTTTTCCGCCATTCCCCACGATCAACTGATTTCCCTCTTTCCTGTGCATTTTCTCTCTCCCTTTCCTTACATTACTAATTTTTATCACAATTTTTATTTTTTTCTCTCATTTTAACCTCCTGAGACCTGAACCTGTATTTGATGTGATTTAAAAGAAAAAAATCATCTATTACAGAATAGTCTACTCTCGTCAACGGAAACACAATAACAAATATTAAATTTTAACAAAAATTTTATTAAATTAAAAATTTGTCAAATTTCCTATAAAAAAAGAAAGAAAAAAATTGAAGTCAATATCAATATCATGTGTCAATAAATAACAACAAAAAGGTCTAAGGTGAAGATGATAACATTTTTAAAGTGCAAGGAGCCAATGTCCACATGTGGACTCAGGGCTCCAGGATGTTAAACACATTTTTATCATTTTTTCAAATCTTTTTTAAACTTTCCTTTTCTTGTGTGAAGTGCCTCGTGATTTTTATCTTGAGAAGCAAAAAGGCTTCGTTTTCTTTCTTTTAAATGTATTATTATTATTATTTATATTATTATTATTAGAGACGGGGGGACATGGTAGAGAAGAACTGAACCCAGATCACTTTGAAATGGGGTCCAGATGACTGTGGACAAGTTCAAACATAAAGCACCTGGAGGTCCGTATGGAGCCCTCCAGGACTGTTCTGTCTCACACCTACAACCACTGACCCAGCTGACCCCCACAGAGTCTTGGACTTCACTGTTTTTGTGACCTGCTGCTTGCTGAGATGTTATTTTGTGGAATTCACTGGACTGAGATTCAATCAACAAACATCTCTGCAGGCTTGTCTGCTAAAGCCTCGAACACGTTCCCCGTCACATGTTCATGTTAACACGTGAGTTATCTGTAACATCAGCTGCAGAGGTCTAGAATGAAGCAGCAGACCAGGTACATAAATGATGTGTGAAGCTGCTGAATGTTCATCAGAAGCTCAGAGTTATTGAGTCACCAATATTCCTGTTAACAGCAAAATTCCTACATTTTGCGCCCCTCAATTATAAAACGTTAGCCTGGCCTGCCAGACTCGTCCTGGTTAACCCTGCACAGAGAGAGAGAGAGTCTGGTAACTCACAGGCAGAGCGGCACATGAGGGGCGGGACTAGCCAGCTAAAAAAAAAAAAACAATCAGAAAAAAGACGTAAATGCCGACTGTGTCGCGCGACGCTGTAGTTTTTTAGATGTAATAAAAAAAAACACCAAGGTGCAAAGAATTACAGTACTCAAGCCTTGATGTAATAAAAGCATGAATTATTGTTTCAAAATCCTTTTTTGACAGCAAGTTCTTTACCTTGGCGTTCCTTATTAAAGTCTCTTTCCGGAACATTTCTCTTATCTGATGGCACCATCTAGTGGCTGATGAGCATATCACACAAGTAGTCTCTGGAACCGTTCTTTTAAGATGGCGACTTCGCATTTTTTGTTCATAAATGAGCTTCTGTAGCCGAGAGAATTAAACAGTATTGTTTAACAAGTATTATTCTCATGTCATGTTGTATTCTCATATATTTATATTTTAGAGACTTACTTGTCTGTGAAAAGTTCATCAACTGCATCAGCCGAGGTATTCCTTAAATTTGAAGCAGGTAAGCTGTAGTCTAACGCTATTGGTTAGTTCTGATCGGCGCTCAGTTTCTTTTGCACGGAGCTCTGCAAGGCAGGGGGCGTGCTTAGCAACAACAACAAAAAAAAAGACATTGCTTACATTATATCACAGTACGTGATAAGATAATCACTTTTATGGATTTCTGAAAAATCATACATCATTTCCGAAAGGGGAAAACTCATTAAAGATACTTTAATTGACAAAAAATAGATTTAGTCACCGCACTGATCTGCCTGTCCAAGACAAGATCCCTATCCAATACAATACCCAGGGAAGTCACACTCAGTTTCAAGAATGGGGCGAGCTGACCGAGGTCCACCATACCCACCCAAAACAAAGTACTTGGACCAAAAACTACAGCCTCTGTCTTTCTATCATTAAAAAGAAAGAAGTTGGAGAACATCCATTGCCTAACCTAAACGAAACAATCTAAAAGAGACCACAAAGAATTATTGTGGCCCCTCTTAAAAGGCACGTATACCTGGGTATCAACTGCATAGCAGTGAAAATGGCACCTTAAAAATTGAACCAAGAGGTAGCAGATACAGAGAAAACAACAATGGGCCGAACACAGAACCCTGGGGAACCCCGCAAGAGAATGAGTCATTAGAGGAAGTAAAATCCCCAATGAGTCACTGAGGGTTCACAGCCAGGTACGACACAAGCCAATCCAGCGCGATCCCTCGAACACCGACAACATGTTCCAACCTAGAAATCAGGAGAGAATGATCCACAGTATTGAATTCAATTCAATTCAAGTTTATTTATATAGCGCCAAATCACGACAAGAGTCGTCTCAAGGCACTTCACATAATAAACATTCCAATTCAGGTCAGTTCATTAAGCCAATCAGAAAATTTTTTTCCTATATAAGGAACCCAGCAAATTGCATCAAGTCACTGACAAGTGTCAGTGACTATAGAGCTCCGGGAGTTGACGTCACTTCTCCCGGCATGCAACAGTTCAAATCGAAACGGCGCCATTAGGCAGGCATAAGCCGGCAGCTGGACTATTTGTTATTGTCAGAAAACTCAATCAAACGGGAAATATGGTAGATTCCTGTTGTGCCCCAGGATGCAGAACAGACACGGACGACATAAGGAATGAGCCATCTACAGGATTCCCCAAGATCCGGAGCGCCGCAAACGTTGGATCATTGTAATAAAACGCGCTAGTGACCGGGCTGAAATGAAGCTGTGGGATCCCGAGAGTAAAGGTTTTCACTTATGCAGCGACCGCTTCATATCAGGTACTTAAACCAACGTTTCCTCAACTGTGTATGGTATTTATTTTAAATGTGTTTATTGCGATTCTTAGTGGGCTTCCTAAACTTATTTAGGCGTGGCTTTTTCTGTCTTATTACTCATAACAACAAGTAAACGTCACGTAAAACGTTGCCTCGTGAGTTCTGAGTGCTGCCGTTTACGTGTTTTATGATCACAGCAATTAACCGGCTAAGCTGTATTTAATTTTTAATTAATGGTTGATCAATTGTCAGATCACACATAAAAAGCACTTTGGATTGCTATTATCTGTCTCACCGAGACCGATCTCAGACAGATCCTGAGACGCTCCTGCCTGACATTTTTATTTTATTCACGGAAAAAAAATCAAACTAGTGATTTCTCTTGGCGTTCAGTTTATACATTCAAACAGCACAGCACTCTATTTAAACCACTTACGTGCAAATCTGTTATTTGTCCATCCATCCATCCATTTTCATCCGCGTATCCGGAGTCGGGTTGCGGGGGCAGTAGCGTCGAGAGGCCCTGACTTCCGTCTCCCCAGCCGCCGGAGCCAGCTCCTCCGGGTAAATCCCAAGGGGTTCCCCGGCCAGGTCCAGTAAGAAGTCCGCTCCGACAGTTTCTGGCGTTTTTAAAAAGTATCCCAGGGGCACGGTAAGGGTCGGAGATGTTTAGTCTATTTAATTTCTGACTATATAAAACGATTTCTTCGGTTTTAAAGTGTGAAGTAAACTCCGACGAAGTAAAGTCCAAGCGGATCCCGTTCATGTTCATGATTACATCTGTGTTTGTTTACCTTTTTTTCCTGCCAAAATGGCGTCTACTAACTGAGAGTCACGTGGGGTCCGGAGCTCTATACAGCAATCCTCATACTAAGCAAGCATAAAGCGACAGTGGAGAGGAAAACTCCCTTTTAACAGGAAGAAACCTCCAGAGAATCCTGGCTCAGTATAAGCAGCCATCCTCCACGACTCACTGGGGATCGAGAAGACAGAGTAGACACACACACACACACACACACACACACACACACACACACACACACACACACACACAAACACACACACACACACACACGCACGCACACTCACAAAGACAAGTAATGTGTCTATAGTAACATTGTGATGTCTTAGTAAATATTCTATTTGGTGAACGATAAACTTTATTGTATTTATCCTAGTGGATCTATAATTAAACGGATAAACTAATATTAGCACATCCAACATCAAGGAAAGCAAAAAGCCATTATCAGGAGAGGGAGAAAGTTTTAGTGGTTAGCAGCAGTGTGCTAGTCGATGGCCCCCTCCATGAGGCCACCACAGCTCAGCAGAATGTCGTTGTAGCTTCTTCTGGGGAGAAAAACACTTACAGAGAAAATAAAGTTAACAGCTGAAATAGCAGGAAATAATACAGTTAAAGAACAGACTGTAGAAGAAAGCAGTAGAGTGTGAAAAGTGGTCAGTGTATCCTCCAGCAGTCCAAGCCTATAGCAGCATAACTACAGAGATAACTCTGGATAATCTATCCTATTTAGATGGAGGCATGTTGGAGTAAGGGCAAGGGAGAGCCGTCTTTACCGACTGTACACTCCACCTCCCTCTATTCCCCCACTTGTCCAGATTTAGGCTAACATCAGATTTTAACCATAGGCCCTATCAAATAAAAATGTTTTAAGCCTATTCTTAAAAGTAGACAAAGTATCTGCCTCACGGACTAAAGCTGGGAGCTGGTTCCACAGGAGAGGAGCCTGATAACTAAAAGATCTGCCTCCCATCCTAATTTTAGATATTCTGGGAACCACCAGTAGACCTACAGTCTGAGAGCGAAGTGCTCGGTTAGGAACGTATGGAACAATCAGATCACTGATGTATGATGGAGCTTGATTATTAAGAGCTTTATATATGAGAAGAAGGATCTTAAAATCTATTCTGAATTTAACAGGTAGCCAATGTAGTGAAGCTAAGACAGGAGAGATATGATCTCTCTTTTTAGTTATCATCAGAACTCTAGCTGCAGCATTTTGGACAAGCTGGAGACTTTTAACTACACTCTGTGGACTTCCTGAGAGTAATGAATTACAGTAATCCAGTCTTGATGTAATAAATGCATGAACTAGTTTTTCAGCATCACTTCTGGAAAGGATGCTTCTAATCTTAGCAATATTCCGAAGGTGGAAAAAGGAAATCCTACAAACTTGTGAAACCTGGGATTTGAATGACATGTCCTGGTCAAAGATAACACCAAGGTTCCTTACTTTGTTCTCGGAGATTAATGTAATGCCATTCAGGTCAGGCGATTGGCTAAGCAATTTCCTTTTCTGGATTTCTGGTCCAAAGATGAGAACTTCCGTCTTGTCTTGATTTAAAAGCAAGAAGTTTAGAGTCATCCAACTTTTTATGTCCTCAAGACAAGCCTGTAATCTACCCAACCGATTAGGTTCATCAGGATTAATGGATAAATATAACTGAGTATCGTCAGCATAACAGTGGAAGTTTATCCCATGCTGTCTAATGATTTTACCAATTGGGAGCATATATATAAATAATTTGTCCAAGCACTGAACCCTGTGGTACTCCGCAAGTAACCCTGGAGTATAAAGAAGATTTGTCATGTACATTTACAAAATGAAATCTGTCAGACAGGTAGGATTTAAACCAGCCTAACGCTGTTCCTTTGATCCCTACAACATGTTCAAGTCTTTCTAAAAGAACATTGTGATCAACTGTGTCAAAGACAGCACTGAGATCTAACAAGACTAGAACAGACACAAGCTTCTTATCCGAGGCCATGAGAATATCATTTGTAACTCTCACTAACGCAGTTTCAGTGCTGTGATACTCTCTAAAACCAGACTGAAATTCCTCAAACAGAGCATTGGTGTTTAAATGCTGACATACTTGGATGGCCACTATTTTCTCCAGGACTTTGGATAAAAATGGAAGGTTAGATATAGGTCTATAATTCATTGGGTCATCTGGATCCAGAGAAGGCTTCTTAAGTGAAGGTTTGATTACAGCAACCTTGAAATCTTGTGGTACATATCCATTTACTAAGGATAGATTGATTATATCTAGAATGGGGGCAGTAACCAAAGGAAATGCATCTTTAAATAATTTGGTTGGGATTGGATCCAAAATGCAAGTTGAAGGTTTAGATGAAGCCAATATTTTTGATAACTCTGAAAGCTCAACTGGATCAAAACGGTTCAAGCACAGATGAGGTTCTACAGTCACCTCTGATGCTGCCTCACTTACTGAGGAAGAAGAAATCGCATTAGGGAGGATGCTAAAGATTTTGTTTCTAATAGAATTAATTGTATTTGTAAAAAATCCCATGAAGTCATTGCTGCTGAGGATTAAGGGAATAGATGGCTCAGAGCTATGATTCTGTGTAAGTTTAGCAACTGTACTGAAAAGAAATTTAGGATTATGCTTATTCTCCTCAATTAGTGCTGAAAAATAAGCAGTTCTAGTTTGTCGAAGCTTATTTTTATAAAACACAAGACTTTTTTTCCAGGGTAGGTAGGCCTCCTCATGGTGCGTAGAGCGCCATGTTCTCTCCAATTTCCTAGAGTTTTGTTTTAAGGCTCGTAAATGAGAATTAAACCAGGGAGCCAACTTCCTGTCCCTAATTACCTTCTTTTTTAAAGGGGATACATCATCTAATGCCACACGTAAAGAGGACTTAACATGATGAACTAGGGCATCAATTTGTGAGGGGCTAGAACTGAAAATATTGCCCTCTGCTACGTTCCTCTGAGATGCTGAGGACAGTAAAGATGGAACAGTTGATTTAACAGATGCAACTGCGTTGTCAGATAGAGACCGACTATAGTGAAATTTATTTTCATGCCTCGAGAACTCAGTTATAAAAAACTCAAAGGTTATCAGAAAGTGGTCCGAGAGGACTGGACTATGTGGAAAGATCGTTATTTCCTCACACTCAATGCCATAAGTCAGCACAAGGTCCAATGTATGATGGCAGGAGTGGGTGGAGCTATGTATTCTTTGAGTAAAACCAATTGAGTCTAAGATATTACTAAAGGCTACATTGAGGCAATCCTTTTCAATGTCCACATGAATGTTGAAATCCCCCACTACAATGACCTTATCAGTATTTAGCACCAAATCAGATAAAAAATCAGAGATCTGATCCAAAAACTCAGAGTAAGGGCCTGGTGGACGATATAAAACTACAAACAAGAGTGGTTTTACAGTTTTGCAATCTGGATTAGGAAAACTAAGAATAAGATGTTCAAACGAACTGTAACTATTAATCTGTAAGGGACTGATTAATAAGTCCGAATGAAAAATAGTTGCCACTCCTCCTCCTCGCCCTGTACTTCGAGCAATATGATGATTTAAATAATTTGAAGGAGTCGACTCCTTTAAGCTAACATAGTCCTCTTGCTGCAGCCAGGATTCTGTGAGAGAGAGCAAAGAGATCTGATTATCACAAATCAAGTCATTAACTAACAAAGTCTTAGAAAAAATGGATCTAATGTTCAACAACCCACATTTAATTTTTCTAGTTTTCTGCTCAGTTGAATTTGTTCTAATATTTATGAGATTTCCATGATTTGCTTTATTAAGCCTGATATTTCATCTGTGTGATTTTGGCCGTGGGCAGGACACTGTCTCTATGGGGTAGTGGGTGGGTAACAGTACAGAAGCTGCTGAGTGGTGGGTTAAACTATGACTCTGCTTCCTGGTCTGGACCCTGGGTTGTCATGGAGGACTAATAAAACTGGCCATATTCCTAGAAAGAAGAGCTGCTCCATCCAAAGAGGGATGGATGCCGTCTCTCCGCATCAGACCAGGTTTTCCCCAAAAAGTTTTCCAATCATCAATGTAGCCCACGTTGTTTTCAGGACATCACCTAGACAACCAGCGGTTGAAGGACAGCATGCGGCTAAACATGTTGTCACTGGTCCGATCAGGTAGGGGGCCAGAGAAAATTACAGAGTCCGACATTGTTTTGGCAAACTTACACGCCGAAGCAACATAAATTTTAGTGACCTCCGATTGGCGTAACCAGGTGTCGTTACCGCCAGCGTGAATAACAATCTTACTGTATTTACGCTTATCCTTAGTCAGCAGTTTCAGATAAGATTTAATGTCGCCTGCTCTGGCCCCAGGTAAACATTTAACTATGGTTGCTGGAGTCTCTAATGCCACGTTTCTGACTATGGAGCTGCCAATGATCAGAGTCGGCTTGTCAGTGGGTGCGTCACTGAGCGGGAAAAATCTATTCGAAACGTGGACGGGTTGGTGGTAGCCCACGGGCTGGGTACTATGCTTCCTGCGTATCGTCACCCAGCCGGCCTGAGGTCCCGGCTGCTCGGGTTCTTCTGCTGGAGGACCGCTACGGGGCGGCTCTGAGCTAGTTAGCCCCGCGCTAGCTAAGTAGCTACGGCTGTTTAAGGGGTTTTTCAACAGCGCGGAGCCGGGACTCCAATTCCGACACCCTCACTTCCAAAGCTACAAAAATGCTACATTTATTACACGTACCATTATCGCTAAAGGAGGCAGAGGAGTAATTAAACATCTGACACAGAGAGCAAGAGATAGGAGACGGAGAAGCAGAGACAGAAGTAGCCATAGCCGTGCTGAGGCTAAGCTAACTGGACGAGCAAACTGTTCAACAACAAATAAACTGCGTGCAAACTCAAATGGTTCCCTAAAAGCTAGGTGGAACAACAGAAAATGTGTGTTTTAGCGTGCTTTAGTGCTACAATAACTCAAGAGATATCCAAGTACAGAGAACTTAAATCAGCTTTAGCGAGCCCCAAACACCAAACAGCTACACGTAGTGCAACACTGAAAACAGAAAACAGGAAACGCCTTACCGCCAGGTGCAGCCAATCAGCAATCCTGAATGCAGTCGATAGGTCCAACAATACCAAAATAACAAGTCTCCGGAATCAGTTGCCAATAAAATGTCTATAAAAACCCGGAGCATTGGCGATTCTGTACTGTGGACTGGCTTAAAACTAGACTGGAATTTTTCCAAGATGTCACTTCTGATCATATACTCAGTCAACTGTGAGTAAACTACTTTCTCCAGTACTTAAGAAATTAAAGGAAGTCTGGAGATAGGTTGATAACTAGACAACGCAGATGAGTCAAGTCTAGGCTTCTTCAGTAAAGGCTGAACAACCGCATGTTTCCAGTTCCCTGGTACTACCCCAGAGGCGATGCTCTGACTAATAATGGCAAGAACCCCAGGACCAACTGATAAAAACACTTCTTTTAAAAACCTAGGGAGCATCGAATCCAAGGGAGAACCAGCAGGTTTTAAAGGGTTAACAAAATCCCAAAGGCAGTCCAATGTAAGCGGCTCAAATTGATTAAAAGTAGCTGAACAGGGACCAGAAAGAGTCTGACATGGGATGGACAGAATTTGAACTCTGATATTATCTATTTTGTCTGCAAAAAAACTCAAAAAATCTTTGCAAGACATCACGGAGGGCTCAAAACCCACTAGTTGGTGAATATTGAGATGATCAATTACATTAAAAAGCATCAGAGAGAGTATCACATTTGAGAAATGTACCCTCGTAGCATCTCTCACAGCCTCCTGATAGTCACAAAGACAGTCTCTTAACACATGAGTGCCTCGAATGGCAGCTCTTGTGGTCTGCCTGTCTTGGTCAGGCTGTACTGCGGAGTATTGTGCTTTATTTTTACAGGGACTGTACAACAAAACATTATCACCATAATACATAAGGCTTGTAGCCTGAGGCTAATTTACTGCCCTTGTCCCTGGTTAGGCATTCATATCTAAACAGAATTAAAATAACAGATATATAAATACAATGCTGTTGCAAGTTACACTAATAAAATACATAAAACGACATTAAAATATCTTAAAGCTACATATTCAGATTAAATTTCAATGTTTCAATGTTCACAGTGTTGTTGTTCTTTCAACCAGTGCTTCAGTTTTTTGTGAAAAGCAGCAAGTCTGTCAGTGACTTCAGATCCGTATACGTATATATATATATATATATATATATATATATATATATATATATATATATATATATATATATATATATACATATAACCCTAACCCTAACCCTAACCCTGGTTATGTCCTTTTTTAAATCATTTTTCCAGGCGTTCAGTCTTCCTAACGAATTTTCAGATGTTTTGGACCTAAGTAATTTATATATTTCTGATATTGCCCCTTGTTTCAAACTGCTTTTACTTATTATTTCTTCCAGTTCTGATTTTGGTGGTTTGGTGCAGGTATTATTTTTATTTGCTCGAATGTAACTTCTAATTTGGAGATATTTGAAAAATTGCTTTCTATCAATATTATATTTATGTCTAAGCATATCAAAGGACATCATTTCTTGAGAGTCTGTTGGATATAAATCTTGGATTTTTTGAAGTCCTTTAATTGACCATTGTTTAAAAACTGTATCTTCTCTTCCTGGTCTGAAATTCTGATTTCCCCACATTGGTGTAAACTGTGACAATACAACAGGTTCATTCATATATCTTTTTACACCATACAATACTTTGACCATGTTCTTCACCATTGGGTTTTTTGCCTTTCTAATCAAGTTTACTGCTGTGTCTGAGAAAAAATATAATGGTAATGGTGGATGCAAATTCATACTATCCATCTCTGACCATTGCGGGGCGTTATTTAAGTCAAAATAGTATCTTATAGACCTTATTTGACATGCCCAGTAGTACCACTCAATATTTGGACACATGACACCACCCTCATTGTATGGTAGATGTAACAATGACAATCTTATCCTTGGTCTCCCATTTTGCCATAAAAAACCGAGAACAAGCTTTTTGATCCTGCTAAACCAATCCACAGGAGGTGGCAAGGGGATGTTCTGATACACATAAAGCACCTTTGGCAGTATACTCATTTTGTATATATTAATCCGACCCATTAAAGAAATTGGCAGAGATATACATCTGTCCACTATCTCTGTTATTTCTTTAGAAAGTCTTTCATAATTATTTTCCACAATCTCACTTAGTTTAGACGAAATCCGTATCCCTAAATACATAAAGTCCCTTACTGTCTTAAAATGGGATGTTACTGTGGGTGGGTTGTCCCTTTCTTCCTCATTTAGCAACATAACGGATGATTTAGATTTATTAATGACATATCCTGATATCTGACCAAACTCCCCTATCAATCTAAGCAGAGCAGGTATTGATTCCTTTATTTTTGAGAGATATACTATTACATCATCAGCGTACAACGAGATCCTATGTTCTACTTCATTCACCATAATTCCTGTCACCGATAAACTCGAACGTACGGCTATAGCAAAGGGTTCCATAGCTAATACAAACAACAATGGACTTATCGGTGAGCCTTGTGGACATCCCCGTTTCACCCTTATTGGTTCAGAGACATTTTTGTTTGTCAAGATTTCAGCAGTTGGATTTGAATGTAATAATTGTATCCATCTTCGAAACACATCTCCATACCCAAATCTAGTCAGAACATCAAAAAGATAGGGCCACTCGACCCTATCGAATGCTTTTTCGGCATCCAGCGAGAGTAAGGCGCTCTCTGACGAATTGTTTATTCCGTCTATAATGTTAAAGACTCTTCTTACGTTATGCAGACCTTGGCGTCCCAATATAAAGCCATTTTGATCTCTATGAATTACTGAGGGGAGAGTACCTTGCAAATGTGTAGCTAATATTTTACCTAACACCTTAATATCGGAATTGAGTAAACTTATCGGCCTCAAATTTTCACATTTATTACTCGGCTTTCCCGGCTTAGGTAGCAAAATGATTTGCGAACCCGTTACTGATTTAGGAAGACTTCCTTTGTGTAATGATTCCTGATACATTTCCAATAATGGTTTCACTAATTTACTTTTAAATTTTTTATAAAAAGCAATTGGAAATCCATCTGGTCCCGCTTTTTTACCTGAACTCATACTGTTAATTGCCCTGCTTATTTCCCCTTCGGTGATTTCTGCATCTAATTGTTGTTTTAAGTCATCTGCAATAGTAGGAATATTTATTTTATCCAGAAACGCATTTCTGGAGGTTTGATCTGATCTATCCTGAGATTCATAAAGTTTTTCATAATAGTTTCTAAACGCCTTATTTATTTCCATCGGGTCTATTATCATTTCCCCTTTGCTGCTTACAATCGATGTTATATTTTTCTGCACTTCCAATTGTTTAATTTGCCATGCCAATATTTTTCCAGGTTTTTCTCCTTGTTCATAAAAAGACTGATTTAATCTCAAAATGTTCGAAGCCGCTCTATCTGCCGATTCTTTATTGTATTGTGCTTTTAGTATTAGCAATTTTTTCTCTGTTACTGGGTCTCTACTTTTGAATACTAGTTCCTCTAGAGTTTTAATTTCCTTTTCCATTTGCTGTCTTGTTTTACATTTTTCTTTAGATTTCGATGAAGTATATGCAATTATAACTCCCCGTAAACATGCCTTAAATGCCTCCCACCTAATACTAGCTGATGTTTGTGAACCATTTATAGTAAAATATTCATCTATTTCTTTTTCTACAAAAGTGAGGAATTCTTCATCATTCAGCCATTTCTGGTGTAAACACCATCTACGCTCCATTATTAAGTTTTTATGTGTATATATGATATTGCAGGGAGCATGGTCCGATAGTAATATACTGTCATATGAGCATGTCCTTATGTTTGATAGTAGGCTTGCTGATACTAAAAAATAGTCTATTCTGGAATATGTATTAAATGTTTTTGAATGGCAGGAAAAAATTATATCGTCAGGTTTTAACTGTCTCCAGATGTCAATCAACTGAAGTTCCTTCATGAAGTTAAGAATTGTTTTTCGGCTTTTGTTATGGGCCTGATCAGTCCCAGTTGGTCTATCCTTACAGGGATCCAGTACACAATTCCAATCCCCTCCTATGATGCATTTTCCTTGGAGTAATGAAATTGTGAGAAAAAGATTAGTAAAAAATGCATCATCATCTGTATTTGGTCCATATACATTAATTAAGTTAATGGTTTCTTGTATAAGTAATCCCTGGATGATCAAATACCTACCAAATTTATCTTTGATTACATTCTTAACCTGAAAAGGTACTGATTTATGTATTAATGTGATTACTCCCCGAGCATTGGATCTAAATGATGCTGCATACAACGAACCTTGCCACCTCCTGCCAACCTTAATATGTTCCTCCTCCAGCAAGTGCGTCTCCTGAAGAAAAAATATTTTAGCTTCCAGATCTTTCATTTTGGTCATTACTTGCTTAATCTTTTTAGTACTTTTTAAGCCTCTACAATTCCAAGAGGTACATTTAACTTCCAGTTCCCGAGTCATCACACCTCACATGCACTTCTAAATGCTTAAATTTGTCTGAGAGTACGAACAAAACGGAACACAAAACACGAACTTTAAGTGAACAAACCATACTTAAGAAAAAACACAAAAAACCCCACCCACCCATTTTCTGGGTAACCCACTCAAATGTTCCACTTCCAACTTTAACCATGTACAGATCCCCGTTTTAAGATCTGCTAACTTAAATGACTGGCATTATGCCTAGCTCTTCCCTGCTCCCTGTGTCCTTAATGAATCCTTAAGCTTTGCTAATATTCCACTGCCCCTTAATAATTAACTACTTTTTCACTGTCTTTAAACAAAATTGAATAAATTCAATAATTAAAAAAATAATAATCGTAATTAATAACTAAATAAATAAAAATGAAATGTAAAAAAAAGTAATATAATATAAAAGATTGAAAATTATCATTCTTCCTATCTAGTTAACTGTGCAGATAAAAAAAAAAAACAGAAAATCGCTTTATTCTTAATTACCTTCTACTTTGATGAAGTTAACTATATCTTTTTCCAAATGAATCATTACCCCAAAATGTTAGACCTTATATTATCGTCCTCATCTCTTGTTCTCCTGGACCTTCTTTATGAAACCTTGGACTTCTTCTGGCGTGTCAAATCTGTAGACTTTTTCCTTGTATGTTACTATCAATTTAGCTGGTATTATGATGCCACTCCTCAGTCCCATCTTCCAGAGTTGTTGTCGTACTACCCCAAACTTCTTCTGTAGTTTGTGCACCTCTGTGGCGACGTCCTCGTAGAATCTCACCCTTTTGTTCTTGTACAAAATATCTTTTTTCAGTCTTGCTGCTCTGATCACCATATCTTTCTGTTTATAGTTAAGAAAGCACATAATTAATGTTCTTGGAGGTTCCTCAGGCTTTCTTTTTGGGCCAATGCGGTGTGCTCTCTCAATGACCAGAGGGCTCCTTGTTGTATTCAACTCCAATACATCCGTTATCCAGCTTTCCAGGAATCCACAGGCGTCCGCACCCTCTTCTCCCTCTGGAACTCCGACCAACCTGAGATTATTGCGTCGGGATCTGGTTTCCAAATCCACTAATTTATCCATCAACACTTTATTTTCTTTCTCTAATCTTGAAATGGTGGTCCCCATCACCACATGCTCATCTTCTACATTTGAAATGCGTTTCTCCGTTTCCTCCACTCTCCCCACACATTCAGACACTTTTTTTTGCATTTCATTCATGGCTGCCACAACCTCATCTGCCTTACTGGAAAACTTGGCCACTGCGCCCTCCAGCTTGTCCCAAAGTGCAGTTTGCGTGTTTGCAAGCTTGCTTTCAATACCTGCAAACTCCTCTCGTATGGCACGCTGCAGCCTCTCCTCCATTTTGTCATTATCCGCGGGGCCGTGTTCACTCGTGCTGGCTGGCTTGTCAGCTGCGCAGGCCTCGGACACGTTAGCTTCACCGCTAAACCCCGATAACTTGGTTTGTGTGGTTGACTTAGTCCTCTCCTTGGTAGTTTTACCAGGTCCAGGCATCGTGGGTCTAACGCTTATTACGTTGTCGTATTTTGGGGCGTTTCTTCTTAATTTAAAGGATTTAGCTGAGTTACCAACAGGAGCAGGTCAAAGCTCGACCGGTTGCTACGGTGACGTCATCGGAAGTCACCTTTGAGGATTTTTAGTTGTGGAGATTTCTAGTTTCTATTTGATAATAGTGGGTGTTTTGGTTTTGGTAAATGGCTAGGTTTATTGTTTGATTTCTTTTGTGGTTGGTTTAGTTTAGACTAAGTGTGTTTCCCTTTGTGGTCTCCTCTCTGTCCAGAGAGAGTCGCTTTAAGTTGGTTATTATATTTTTGCTTGCTCCCTGTTTTAGCAGAGGGAGTTTTTAGTTTACTTATTATATACCCTTGATCCAACCTTTTGTAAATAATCCTTTATTTAGAACAGCCATTCGTTAACCTCCTTCCATTCATTCCTCACCATCTTAACCATACACCATCCCTCCATATTCATCCCTTTTATTTTTCTGTGTTCTCCCCTGACCGCTCCTAGACGCCAGAGGCGACTAACACCCACGATGAAATGAGTTTGTTTTAGGATGATCAGTAGATGCTCTGAATGTTTTAGACAATGCAGCAATGAATTTTAATTTATTTCAAATAGCTGTTAGGTTGTTTGTTTGAAAGCAGTGACCAGCATCCCGGCATGCGATGACTCAACGTCACACGAGTGACTTCGTCAGTAAACACAACAACAAGCAGGAGAAAACTACAACATGGTTTGTGTTTTATGTTCTGTCCGTTTTATAATCACCAATACGGACCTGAAAAACAAAGGAGACCGCTAGCTAGGTGATAACTTCTCACGGGGCCGCAGTTAGTAACCTTTCTTAAAAGTAAAGCAACCGGAAGGCTCTTTATTCTGAAAATCTCGGGAGCTTCTCTCCATTTCCGCGTCCGATTTCCTGTCTTTCCTTCCCCAAAAATGTCGAACTTGACCCGTTTCAGAGGCGTCGCGCGTAGAAAATAGAACCGGCGCGTAAAGGCCGCGACATGCTGCTCCTGAGACGCGGCCGACTCGCGCTGCCGACGGCTCCGGTGGAAAAGGTTCTGTTGACCACAGCGGTTCCTATCAGCAGCTATGACGTGCTGCTGACGGCTCCGGTGGAAAGCCGAGGTTACTGTGCACTTTCCCCAAGGGCACTTTGCTGATGACTGCAGGGCGAGTATGGAGACTGGGCCTTTGTGTATATACTTGCATCTCTTGGTCATTCCACCAACAAATTAAAAATCTGGCTGGGACCGGACATTTGTAGCCACGATTCGGAACTGCTCTGTCTTTGTGAGACTGGCCCCTACGATCAAGACGTTTTCTAAAGTTGAGTTTAGTCTGCACATCAAACCAGGGCACTCAGCTGGTGCTGTGTCTGGTGGCGTTCATTAGCAGTTTTATTTTTAGCGTTGTGGTTTATATAATCAACACTGTATTTCGCTACTCGGCTGCTCCAGGTTAGGTATTTAAATGTTTACCTGCTTTAGTTTCCAGACCTTTCATGAGCACAAAAGCTCGTTCTCAACCATGGATGGCATACCGATGCAGCAGCTTAGAGCAGGCACGTTGATGTTTACCGTGTGGGCTTTAATAGTTGATCTGCACTGTAACTGATTAAATCAGCTGTTAGCTGACAACAAAGCCAAAGGAGCACAACCAGTTAGATTGTTTGGTCAGTGAAGACCAGTCTATTTCATTTATTTACACAGACACTAGCAGGAGGGCCCTGAAGGCATCACGATGTGTTTACCAATGGCTCAATGTACAGAAAAAATAATTCATTTGAATGTTGTAGACATAAATTGTAAAACACCCTCGCATGCACACCTGCTGAGGGGATCTCTCAAATCAAGTAATAAAAACATCAAAAAATAAAACTGTACAAAGTTTTAAAAACAAGTTTTCTGATTGAACTTCAGCTCGAAAACGAGCCAGTCAGAAGCTCCGCGGCTGACACCTCAGCGACGATTGGCCAGTCTTCACAGCAACGTGAGAAATTCTTGAACCTTCAGACAAAATAAGACATGTAAACACAACACTGAATTTCAAAATAAGAGCCCAGGCAGACCTTCAATATAAATCGCACCTTATCGATGATAGCTTCTTGTTTTATTTGGTCATTCTTGAAGTCGTCATCAACATCCAGAACGAGGACAGGAAGTTCACTGAGGTAATCAAAGTCCAGCCTGTAAACACACACAGCTTTGATTCTACCACTCCAGGCTCACCTGTCTGACTTCCACACCGGGCCCCCAGCAGCTACCTGAGGTTCTTGTGGTAGAGCCACGCCTCGTGTTTGGAGTGAAGCTGCTCCAGATACTCGAGGGGAATCCCCCGTTCCTCATCCCTGCCGCGATGCATCAGCCTCTGCATACAGCGCTGCAAAAACCAGACACCTGAAGGTAGAACTGCAAAATACCCGAGGTACTAGGCAGGTGTGTCATGCTGGTACCTGTGGAGAGGCTCTCAGGTAGATGATGCCATTCAGGGTGATGTCGGGTTCAAAGTGGTTCAATAGCCAGGTGTGCCAGTCCTGATAAACACTCCACTCGGTGTCAGTCAGGTCTCCACACTCAAAGAGGTTGGATGCAAACACATACCTGTACACACGAGCAGATAAAAGACCCGACAGGAACAGGTGACCACAGCTAAAGCAGGCTTCATTCAAGAATGAATGTGAATGCTACGATTCCAGCTCAGGTGCGCCACCTGCAGATGAGATTCTTTACCTGTCTGAGTAAACGGAGCGCTCGTAGAACTGAACCGGGTTTTCTGCCTGCTGAAGTTTAGCGGATGGACCCTTAAGCTGAGCTCGAACTCTGCTGAGACACGCATAGCTCTGCACACAGGTGAGACACGTGGATGGAACACCTGCTGCACATCAGTAACACCTGAGAAAGTGACGTTCGATGCAGGTACCTGAAAAGTATAGGACCAACGGCTGGGTTTATCGTATAACATCTGCAGCAGGTTTCCTCCACTCTTCTGAGACGAGCTCAAGTCCTACACACAAGTAAGCACACAGGTGAGCTGCCTACCTCCAGCTTCACTGGCTGCCAGTCAACTTCAGGGTTCATCTCAAGGTCCTGGTTCTGGTCTATAGGGCCTTACATGGACAAGCACCATCTTACATTGGTGATCTTCTTAGTCCCTATACCACCAGCAGGTCCCTGAGGTCCAGTGACCAAAGCCTACTGGTTGTGCAGCACCAGGCTAAAGGTCAAAGGTGACAGATCATCTGCTGCTGTGGCCCCCAGACTCTGGACCTCTCTCCCCCTGAGCCTGAGATCAGTGGACTCAGTGGTCTCCTTTAAACTCACCTGTTCAGGCTTTGGTGGGACCTCCATCACCTCCCTCTCCTGGCTCTGCTCTTATTCCGCCTTACCCGGGATCCACTGATGCTTTTTCCTGTTCACTTTCTCTCCCTTTCCTAACATTTTTTGTTCTTTTCTCCTTTAAAACTTCTTTTTAATCATTTTAGCCTGGTGATTTTTATCTTGAGAGGCTCTCTATAAAAGATCTTCTCTGCATCTCTGCTGCACGGTGGAGCAGTCTGTCGAACAGTGTTCCTGTAGCATGAAGGGTTGCAGGTTTGAATCCCGCCTGTGCATCCTTTCTGCAGTTAGCATGTTGGCACCATTAGCTGACTGGGACAGGACGGACCACCAGGGTGGAAAAATTCAAGACTGTCCAACAGTAAAACCCTGGTAAGCGGGCAGTTTTCAGGGATTAGGTGGACTAGTTGTTCCTGGGCTCGTTCACAGTTACAGTAAAAACGCTGCAGTTGTGCTCATTTTTAATGTTTTGCATTTTATCCAAATAAATATTTATAACGCGACAAGACGAGAGCCACACAGTACGCACGCCGTGCAAAACAAAACCCGACACATATGAGAAACCCGTGGTGCTGCGGCCACTAACCAGAGGACTACTGAGCTAGTGCTGCGTAAATGATTATTTTAAAACAATCCTTCAGGTGAGTAACTAACTACTCTAGTAACTAATTACAGGGCTGTACGTTAACGCCTTCAGCTTATAGCACCGGTGCAAGCACCAGCATAAAAATGTGTTCCGATCTCTAAAAACCAAAAGTAGATGTTACAATGACTTAAACACACCGACCATCACCAGTGCATGTAATTAAAGCACAATACCAACCTGAGTCCCACTCATGTACTTTACTATGTAGCTGATTCTGAAATATCTTCACATGATGACGGTGTCATTTAGAAAAGAACGTTTTCTTTGATTCAGGTTAGCGTAGATCTGTTCCTTACAGAGGTCTGTCCTCAGCAGCATAGACGTAGAAGAGTAGACACCACACCGATCACTACTGTGTACAGTAGTTTTTATAAACTGTATGGTTAACCGGATGGTTTAGCTAAGGCGATAGATCCGTGGAGATCTGGAGCTCTCATAGGGTTAGGGCTGCAGCTATCGAATATTTTTGTAATCGAGTACTCTATCGAATCTTTTATCGATTAATCGAGTGCTCTAATAAATAACCCTTTTGTGTTTGTAACCATTATATCAAATAGCTCTTAAAATGAGAAAGCAATTGCCAGTTATTCTTCCAAGTTTTATTCAAAATTAGTCTTCAAAACTTCAACTTTACTTCACAGTAAACAAATGCGAGTAGCCAGGCGCGTTGCACGATTTTCAAAAGTGTGGGGGATGTTGTCTGTGCCTAAAATAAGTTCATGTTATTCATCTTGTTAGTTTAATTTCCATAATAGCGGAGCAGGTGTGAATTTTAGACGCGTCACGCACGTCTCCGTTTTAAACATGTTTAAACTGTTCAGAATACAAATCCAGGCTCTGTCTCGTTAGATTGGTGTAACTAAAGTTTGTACTGAATGAAACTTTACATTAAACCATGTTGAAAAGAAAAGGATCCGATTAAATCGTTTCCCCTCATTTTACAGTCAGGAGTACAGCGCAGTGCACGTGGCTCTGGGGTTAATCAAGTTTAACTGTTTCTCTTTGCAACAATCTTCACAAGAAGGCAAAACAGTTAAATGGCAGATTACAGATATTTATATTAGACTTTTATTTTGACGGGTAAACTCAATGATGTTGGTTGGATTGAAAGAACAAGAAACCCGGTCTCTCTGAGGGATGTGTCACTTGGAAAAATGTTCTTTTTATGAAATTATGAAACTTTGGCTGAACAGCGCTTGTTCCCGTCTCTAATATGGAGACGCATGACGCGTCCACTCTGAGGCAGAATAGCCTCTTCAGCTCAGAAAGCTCCTGTAGAGACATTTGATCACGCACAAAGTTCATGTGGAGCAGAAGCGGTCGGACCACGGCAGGTGAAACGTTCCTAGCCTACATGGAGTGAAACTGTTTAATTGTAACATTAATATGTTACTGGACACGCTGGTCTGGTTGGTTAGACCAGTGTTGGAAGTGGAAAACACACACACACACACACACACACACACACACACCAATTAAAATAATGACTAGAAGACAGGTGATGGTTTACGTGTTTAAATGATGATCAGGCTGCTGTAAAATGTAATCTCCATCCACATCCAGACACAATTATCCTCTATTCTTTCTCTAGTTGCTCTGCTCTTGTCTGGGCTGACGTAGCTGACGGTGCGCGCGGCGCGCCTAACTAGCGGCTGATGCACATTTTACGCATTTGGAGAGGTGGGCTGGATGCTTTGCTTTTACTGGAAGATGGTCCACTTAACGCACGGGTGTAGACTACATATTAATGACAAATGAATAAAAATTAAATTGGGAGTTTTTACTTCATATTTTAGAAATTAAAATGACGGGGGAACACATTTATGACGTCTTTTTAAACTAAATTTCCTAGCGCGACCTGCCTGCTTCACTAAGTCACTGCTTATTAAGGTCCGTCCAAAATTACCGTGGCCCACCCAAAAATGAAAACCTGGCGCCGCGCCTGTTATAAACCTCTGTAAATTATTGTTCTTCACTTGATCAAACTCAGACTTTGTACAGCTAATGTCAAGATGTAAAATCATGAATTCAGTCGAGCTCTTCCGTCCCTCCCTCTCCTGCTCTCCTGGAAACCCGACATCGGCTGTCAGAAGCGGGAGGTGAAGAAGGAGATGATGAAGGCAAACAGACTGCGACGTAGAGACCAGACCAGTGTGGAGGCGAGCAAAACAGCTGGAAAAGTGAGGATGTCAGCTGAACGATCTCAATAAGAAAAGTGAGGGTGTTGAATCCCCCACGGGTGCGACGCCCATGCGAGAGGCTGCGGCCCAAATGGCACCAGAACCGCTCACGGCGCATGCACAAACATGGCTCGCCAGCTGTTTCCATATTAACACACGTCCGTTTTAATTTCTACACTTTTTTCTCCCAATAACGAGGATTGTCGAGAAAGCATGTTTGCCGTGGTTATGTCAAATTATACTGATCACAAAACATTTATTTACCTTATTTTGTTTTCCTCATAAATACCTGTGTCCTCCTGCAGCAATCCCGAGGGACATCAGACATCACGTGCTAATTACCATAATGATGACGTCATCACGCCATATTGGCGTTCATTTTCCCCATAGCATCGAAAAGATTATATATATATATATATATATATATATATATATATAGGACTAAAAGGGAGGAAAATAAACTGAACCTGAAATGAACGTATTAGCCAAAGGACTCAATTTTGCCATTGCTCCGCAACAGTTGCCCATAGTGAACCTCATCACAGCCACTGAAACTGCCATACGGATCAACAAATTATCTTAGGCCTAGTCCACACGTAGCCGGGGTTTTTTAAAAACGAATATCCGCCCCTCCAAAAACTTGCATCCACACCACCGCGTTTTAAAAACAGACTCTGTCCACACGTACCCGGATAAATACGTTGTTAAGGACATGCCAGACCTGTAGGCGGCAGTACTTCCCCCGTTCTTAACCTCGTCCTTCGTCTGTGGTCTTCCGCAAGGAGCAGTAATTCCTCTTGCAAAAACAAACAAGCAGAAAGCGCTTGGACAATTGATAAAGCGAGCGCAGCTCTGAGGGCATCCATGCTGTCGGCTAGTGTAAACACAGGTCGCACACGTGATGTCAGCATTTTTTTGTCGCGGAAAGTGACGTTGCGGACCTTAAAACCCCGGTTTTGTCTGTCCACACGCAGACACCCAAAACGGAGAAAACGCAGATCTTCACTTTGGCCGGAGTTTTTAAAAAGATCCGTTTTCGTGTGAAAAAACTCCGTTTTCGTGTGGATGACAGGCCAAAACGTAGAAAAATATCTACGTTTTGGCAGATCCCCGGCTACATGTGGACAGGGCCTCAGACAGAAGCAGAACAGATCAGGATGAAAATCTCAGCCACCCTCTCCAGTGCCAAAGTCCCTCCGCTGAACCTCACGTTACAAGAAAAGAAGGCAGTCGCATCACTAAGCAAAGACCACAGCATCACTATATTGCTAGCTGATAAGGGAAGGTGCACCGTGGTCCTAAACACAACGGACTACCACGCAAAGATCACTACTCTCCTCAGTGACAACAACACCTATGAAGCCTTAAAGCGAGACCCCACAAGCAGCTACAAAAAGAAAGTTGTAGCTTGCCTTCAAGGCCTTGAAAGGGACAAAACCATCAACCGCCTGACATATCACCGCCTTTATCCAGGAGATGCCATACCCTGCATCTACAGACTTCCCAAGATCCACAAGGAAGGTATCCCTCTCAGACCCATTGTCAGTAGCATAAATTCAGTCACCTACGACATCGCGAAACACCTTGCTACTATCCATGCACCTCTGGTGGGGAACACCCCACACCACATCAAGAACTCCGCCGACTTCACTGACAATACTGATGGATTGACTTTAGATGGCGGCGCGGCAGTAGCACGCAGCGGCCACTCCGGAGCCAAATGGTGCCTACGTTTTTGTGTATCATGGTTTTTTATCTTATCTTATTTTTCTTATTTTTTACTATGGATATCGTCGGTACTGGTGCCTGTACATACAGCAGCCAGACACTTTGCTACCTTCA